CCGTGTTCACGCCTCCCCCATCTGAGTCTTGATATCCCACTTACGGGACACGCGTCAGGAGTCATCCTGACAGACGCCAGTTCTCCCAGCGCCCCCCCCCACTTTTCTGTGTTAATTTTTTCCACATTTCCACCTTCTCACATATTCTCTGATGCGCTAATGGGTCTGTTATTGTTTGGGGGGTTGTTCCCCACCCACCTGGTGCCGGGTGCATGGGAAGCCCTGGGGACACACGAACGGGGCTTCCCGTCAGGTCAGGCCCGCACCGGCCCGCATCAGCCCTTCCGCTCCTGGGGATTGAATGAGAGAAAAGAAAAAGCAGGGTCACACAGAGACGTACCCATGAGCGTGCACATCGCCCTGTCACAGCAGCCACGGCCACGAGCACCCGTGCAGCGGGCCCCCTGCGTGCATCGTGCAGTGGGGTACAGCTCAGCAAGCGCCTCCTCGGTGAGCACTCTGCCTCCTCAAGCCTGCCAGAGCACCCTCCACGGGTGACTCCGGCAAACCAGGGCCGAGTCCGGCAGCAGCCCCCGGAGGCTAGGAGGTCAGGAGCAGACAGCTGGGGGTGGACTGACAGTGAGGGCGGTTCACCTCTGCGGGTTCAGCCTGAGGCCGGCTCCCTCTGCGCCCTCAGGACAGACAAAGGCAGACAGACACCTGCCTTCCTGGAGGCGTCTGTGGAAAACTGCGCTGAAAGGGAAAGCCAGACAAGACGGGGTGAGGCCAAGTCTGGGTGAGCCGCAGGCACAAAACCTCTGACTTCACAGACAGAAAGCGCTGCAAGACTGCACTGAGACTTGAGCTGCTGCCTCTGCGAGGCTGGGCCGTCACAGCTCGAGTTCAGAAGCGAAGTGTCTATAAACCAGAGGCAAAGCTCTCGGGGTGACGCTGTCGAGTCTGCAGTATGTCGCTCACAGATGCCAGGATTCAAATCAAAAGTACTTGCTATGAGGCAAAACACAATTCAAGAGAAAAATAGAGCCAGCGACGGTCCCCACGTGTTAGGATTTGCGAAAATAATTTTAAAGCAGCTGCTACAACTATGCTCCAGGATATAAAGGAAAACAGGCTCACAGTAAGCTGAATTAGATAATCTAGAACAAGAATAGAAACTACAGAACAGATAAAGTAGAACATCCAAACGGGGAAATCAGGTCTCTGGAAAAAGTCACTAGATATGTGAAGAAGCACCACAAATGCCGGAGCAAAGGCTTGGTGAACTTGAAGAGCGAGCGATGGGCGTTGCTCCATCTGAAGGACAGAGGGAGAGAGACCGCCGGCCCTCAGAGCCGGGACGAGCCTGGGTGTAACTGCTGCCCAGACAGGCGACGAGAAAGACGGAGACGGAAAAACGTAACAAGGGCGGAGAATGTCCCCACTTGGCAGGAGACATGCGCAGGGCTGAGTGTCTTGGCTCGCATGGTGGGGCGCCCTGCCACCAAAGATAAAGGAAATCCCTAGAATCTCAGCTTTGAAGCTTTGTTTTCCAAGTCACTGTGATGACCAGGTTTTGGGATAAGATGGGTCTGTCCAAAGAGCGGGCTTGGAGGTGAGCATCTGCCTTCCCGGAGCTGCCGGTGGGCACGAGGGGGGGCGCGGGGTGTGGAGGGGCCCTCCCTGGGTGAAGGGTGGGGGGACGAGTAAGCAAAAGACCTTCCCGGGAGACGACAGGCAGGGCGATAACGTGGCAGGATGGGGGCGTGAGGCCAGGCCGGCGGCCATCTGTGTGTGGGGCTCCCTGAGCACCGGAGGACTAAGGTGTGACAGGGACAGCGGGGGCCTGTGGGTGGCGAGGCCGGGCCAGTTCACAGGACATGCAGGCCGAGCGAGGAGGCCACCTTACTCCGTCAGCAATGCAGACTCGGACGACTGCACACAGAACAGCCGGCCAGGGGGTCGCAGGGCTGTGGGTGGGGGGCGGGCCAAGCCCCCACCACCACTCCCGGCGCGCCTGCAGACACCGCCTAGTCTGCCCAAGTGACTCACCTACAGTTCAAAATAACTTACGCCAATATTTTGCAAATCTCAGGCAAAAATAAAATAAGTCAACACTAATTTTGAAGCATTCTAAAAATGTTCAGATACAGATGGGGTGTGTAAATCGGGCCTCTCAGATCTAGCAAGCTGAAGAACACAAAGGCAGAGCCGTGCAGTGAGCCCTGAACTAATTTTGTGTAAGGAGAAGACAACTTAGCTCCCTTGGACTTCTTTTTTCTTGCCAGAAAGTACAAAAGCTGGTATAATTGAGTTATTCTTCCCCGGTGCATGTAAATAGAGGGTGAGAAGACCGTACAATTCGTCTTTTCAATTTTGTAAGACGATGATATTAGCAGAAATCTGATTTCATTTACTGAATGAACCCCCGGCTGGGAGATTTGCTCTTCCCTTCAGCCCAGCTCAGGCAGCTCTTACTGGACACCAGGCAGAGTCAGAGAGGGCAGTGTTCGTCCCCCGGCCCCCTTCATCCTCGCATCTCCCCATCAGCGGCCTCACGGCCACTTTCACGGAAGAAGCGCCTGGCGGTCAGGCCCCCTGTGGGCCCAGGGCCTCGGCGTTGGGCGAGCAGCTGAGACAACTGGCCAGTCCACAGCCTGGACTGTCCAGATCCTGCTTCCCAGCCCATCCCCACGGGGCTGTGCATGCTGCTGGGGTCCCTGGTTGTGTCTTCTCAGCTCTGCACAGGGCAAGTTCAGACCCCCGAGTGCCTGAAGAGTGGGGTACAGGGCGGGTCAGAGCCGGCCTTTCTGGGCGGCGAGCAAGGACCTGGTCTGGAGTTTATGGAGGTGCTGCTGCAGCCGAGCAGGAGCAGTTTCTGTGATTGTTTGGCCCCGTCCTGGCACCTGGAAACCATGTAGGGAACCCCTGAGCAGCAGCCTCAGTGCCAGTGGGTGGGCTCACAGCCACCACGTGGAAGCTGGGGCTGTGCAGACCCCCATGAGCCAGGGCTGCGGTCAGGGCTGCCTGTGGGAGGTGGTGTGGCCACTGGCTGGCCGGGCGTGACTGTCCAGGTCGCCCAGGGCCAGCAGGCACTTTCATGTGCAGCGGTGACCTGCAAAAACACCCCACCTGGGTGCCCACGAGGCCTGGGGACAGGCTGCCAGCTCTGTTTTCCTGGCACCTACGCGGCCTCACAGCTCTGATGCGGCTGCAGGTGTCTGGGGGCGTCCGGGGGCACATTTGGCAGTTCTCTCGACCATCTGTTGCCGATAACCAGAGCATCAGAACCAGAACCTAAGTGGGCCGAACTGGCTCCTGGAGACAGCATCCAGTGCTGCCTGCCCGGACTACCCTGGGAAGGCCACCCCCCACCCTGGCGGAGAAAGGCCATCCCGGGCGGGGAGCAAGCCTCGGAGGCTGTCACAGGAGCAGCCAGCTCCCGCCCCCACCCTGGGCACTTCCAGCCGCCAGGACTGTGAGGAAGTCTGTGTCCTGCTTGACCCCCCTGGTGGTCCTGCTTGGGAGGAGCCTGCCAGGCTTCGGGGCTGGGGAGAAGGGGGGAGGGGACAGGAAGTGGGCGCAGCTGGAGAGACTGGGGGGTGAGGTCTGAGCACCCAGAAGTCGTGACCCCAATGGCCCAGGACACACTTTTACTGGAGGTGGGCCTGGTTTTTGGGGTTACACCCAGACACCAGCTCGCCCAGTGATCTCGGGACAGACCTGTGTCTCCCCAGGGGGAGTGTCCACGCAATGTGACACTGCACTAGGGAAATGTCCCCTGTACTAGGGAAACCAGGCAGTCGGCCCAGGAAGTCTTCTCTCCTCGAGGCCGTGGGCCGGCTCATCCCGCCCCACAGACCCTGGGGCCTCCAGGTGGTTCTGCCCCTGGGCTCCTCAGAGAGCCCTCCACCTGGGCAGTGGGTGGCCAGACAGGGAGGCTCCATTTTCAAGGGCCAGCCTGAGCAACCCCCACATCAAACAGGCTGACCCTCGGCCACACCAACACATAGTGAGCAAAGACTGCTGGGTAATGTGGTCTGACTCTGCGCCCTGGAAAGCCAGGAACGCAGGCCTCGGAGGTCACTTTCCACACCTGCCTCAGATGAGGGTCAGTCTTGGGTCCCAAAGTAAAGACAGAGGGAGATGGACAGAGACGAGACACAGCCACAGAAATACCGATGTCCGGGGTCCTCAGGGAAGGAGACAGCACGGCCAGCTCAGAGGCCCAGCCCTTTGGGGTGGGGGAGGAGGGCCCAAGGGGTTACAGAGGTGGTCCAGGCAGCACTGCCCAGCAAGCTGTGCCAGAGTGATCAGAGCATGCTCCAGGGCACTGAGTATGGTACGAACCCCCTGCAGTCTCTGCTCACAGCACCCCGAGTCCAGCCCACTTTCCAGACGCTCCACCTGAGGCTGAGAGGAAACTTCACCAATATCACCATCGGGACGCACACCAATTCAGGAAATTTCCATCAGTCTTGTTCCTACACCAGTTGCGTGATCTGCACACAACAAATTGTCTTTGCAGATCAAATTGACTTTCTGAAAGTCAGTTTCCCTCCTTAAAATGAAGATGAGCACCCCATGACAGGGGCTGTGGGGGGGTTTCCATGTGACAGGTTATCAGGGAAGGCTTCCCGGTGGTGACATTCCCAAGCTGAGTGTTGAGTTTTGCAGGGCAGCCTGAGAATCTGGGAGCCCACTTCCCAGAGGTGGGGTGAGATGGGCATGCCAAGAGGGACACTGTCAGAGGCACAGCAAGGGGCATGGGCGTGGGGATCAGGAGGGGCACCCCATCTGCTGGGAAATCACACAGGCTTCCTGAGGGAGGCAGCATTTGGAATTCTGCCTACAGACCGTTAGGGACAGGCATGGCCAGCAACCTGGAGATGGGGCGGAGCCGTGAAAGGCAGCAAGCAGGCGCCCCCCACATTCCATGCCCAGGAGGCAGCTTGGCCTTGGGCCTGTACGTCTGCCCCTCCCTGCCCCCTCCAGCCAGGGGTGGTGCTCCCTCTGCCCTGCCAGCTGCTCCCAAGTCCAGTGCTTGCCTGCCAGCCACCGAGATGGGATCACTCTCTCTGCTGCCTCTACCGGTGCAGCTGGTGCTGCTGTGGCCACTGCAGGTCTGGACCAAGGGCCCCATCCGCGTCTTCGTGGTGCCCCACAGCCACATGGACGTGGGCTGGCTCTACACGGTCCAGGTAAATGCCAGGTGCTACTCCCCAAGGACACCCTGAAATTGCAGCTTCCATCTCCCTGCAGGATGGGGGTGCACCCTGGAGTTCACATCAGGGTCACAGACCCGCCTGGGTTCAGTCCAACCTCCCTGTGCTGGGTCAAGTGGCTGACCTCAGGCTGGTTGGTCATTTCGTGTGTCTGAGCCTCAGTTTCCCCATCTGTGCGAGCAAAATCAGAGCCAGCAGAGGTCAGATGAAGAGCAGAGTCAGGTCATGGCCTGCTCTGGGGGACCCTGGGCAGGTTGTGCCCCCTCTCTGGGGCCTAGTTCAGGCTTCAGAGCCTTCGACTGGCTGTTCCCTCCACCCAAGACTCTGGTCCCAGATGCGTGCAGGCCCCATCCCTCCCGCCCTTCCCAACGTTGCTCACCTTCCTGATGAGACTTCAAGCAACCCTCCCCCTACCCCGCTTTCCCGCTGCCTTCCACTGTCGCCCTGGGGGTGCGGGTCCTCTGCTTCCCCCTAGAACGGGGCTTCTGCGGGGGGCCTCACCCACTGTTACTGCCCTTCCACGGTGCCTCGTGGCCCCAGCGCACGTGAGTATTTGCTGGTGAGCGAGCGAACAAGCGCGTGAATAAGTGAAGAATGCACGGATGAGAGGCTGACAGATGAGTGAGTCAGTGCAGAAAGGCAGCGGGAGCCTCTGGTTCTGCAAGTGACGCAGCCACCTCAGCTTGGCCTGAGGGAGAGAGGGCAGGCAGCCGCCAGAGACCTCTGCGCGGGCGACGGCCTCACGGGGGATGTGTGGACACCGAGATCTTAGCGAGAGCACAGTGGGGCCTCTGGGCTGAGTGTGAGGTCCTCTTGGGGTGCACAGGCAGCTCGGGGTGGTGCTTGCTGCCCACGAAGCAGCTCAGGTCGGGGGAGCATGCTTGTCACCCCCATTACAGAAGAGAAACTGAGGCCCAGAGAGGGTCAGGCCTGGTCCAAGGTTGCTCAGTTCAGGCGGTGCCTGCTGACCCTGCCCAGTGCTCTCTATGCTCCTCAATGGGACTGGCCAGCACAGGGTGCCAGCCTGGGGAGCCAACAGGGTGCGCCTGAGAGTGGGCAGGCACCCTGCAGGAGCTCAGCGCCTGCTCCCTCCCCTCCAGCCCAGGCAGGTGGCTGTGGGTCAGCTGGCCGCGCCCCTCTCACCCTGCCCAGTGGGCTGTGTCGGTGTACCCTCAGGCTGCGGCTCACCCGCTGGCAGCCTATCCCTGTGCCCACTTGGAGGGCCACGGTCAGCTTGCTCACCTGCCCCCGGGCACTCTCTGGTCCAGGCAGGAGAGTCTGTGCTTTCTCCCCCTTCTGCCCCCCCCCCACCCCCAGCCTTCAGCAACTGGCACCTAGTGGCCATGGCGGGAGAAGCAGTGGACCGGAAGGCAGGGGCCGGTGCCTGGGAGGGCCCAGGGACACCTGGTCCCCACGCTCACGCCAGTCCCGGCCCCCAGGAGAGCATGGAGGCCTACGCGGCCAGCGTCTACACCTCCGTGGTGGAGGAGCTGAGCCGGGGGCCCTCCCACAAGTTCATCGCCGTGGAGCAGGTGTTTTTCCGGCTGTGGTGGGACAGCGTAGCCTCGGCCCGGCAGAAACACCAGGTACCACGGCCAGGGCCACAGGCAGGGGCCGGGCGGGCGTCGGCTGGTCCACAAACCAGGTGTCCATGCCCTGCTGCGGAGGGAAGGTGGCCGGGAGGGCACGGGAGCCCACTCGGACTCGCTGCCGGGCGGCAGGCTGGCCCCCTGCTGGGGAGAGCCCGGAGCCTGGACAGGCCACGGGCAGCAGGCACTCCCTAAGCCGGCGCTGCAGGGCGTGAGGTGAACACAGCTCCTGGGCAGGAAATCCAGGTCCTGGCCTCCTCCAGGGGAGCCAAACCACCCGCGGTCTCCCCTCGCGTCCCTCCATTCCGCGAGAACCGGCAGACATCACGGGCCAAGGCGCATCGTGTACAGACATGAACAAAATCAGCTCGTGAAGACACAGCCCCCATTTTAGGGCCGCCTGCAAAATAACTAGCTTGTAACCTCCAGAAGTGTCAATCCGGGAAAGCGAACAGGGCGGGGCAGCAGTTCTGAATTCCGAGTTAAGGGAGAGAAGGCCAGTTAAACGCCAGCCCGATCCCCCGTGGACGGCCGGAGGGGACCTCTGGGGCCCCTGGTAACCTGGGGTCCCGGCTGCCCGGCGGATGGGACTCGTGTGAGGCCCTGGATCTCCTGGTTTGGCCGTGTCTCTGTGAGCTGGTTGCCCTGTGCTCACAACACCGCCCAGCCGCGAGGCTCGCTCTCCTCGGTCACACTTGGAGACAGTTTGGAGACAAGCGTGCCCACTGCACGCAGAGGCGGGCGCTCAGAGCCCTGGTGAATCCAGAGAAAGGAGTCCAGGAGCTCTTGGTGCAATAATCCAGACTCGCCAGACGTTTGAAATGATTTGAAATAAACATTTAAGACACATGGCATACTCCTCAGGCAGCAGACAGGGCCAGGCGCCGTCCCAGGGGGCCAGGGCTGACTGGGACAGACCATGTCCTGAGCTCACAGAACAAATAAGGGTGACGTGGGGCGGACCCCACTCTCTCTGCCCCCCTCGCCCAGGTCCACCGTCTGCTGGCCCAGAGGCGCCTGGAGTTTGTCAGCGGAGGCCAGGTCATGCGTGATGAGGCCGTGACCCACGTCGATGACCAGATCCTGCAGCTCACAGGTTTGCTCCCCCCCACCTGCAGGGGTCTGGGGCCGCCAGTTCGACCGGGATGGGATGTCTGTGCCCTGCTTCTGGACGTCAGCAGGGCAGTGACTGGCCCGTGTCCTGTAACAAGTGCGGGGCCAAGAGCAGGAGCCTAGACCTGCTGGACTGGCTGGCTAGGCCCCACCTACTGTCCCCACCCGGGTCTGCAGGAGTGACCTCACTGGGTCCCCAAAGTGAGCTGGAGGCTAAGACCTTCCTCAAAGGACCACTGTAAGGAGGATCCGGGACAGTCAGACAGTGCCCTGGGGCCCTAGGGACTCCCCGGGAGTGTCAGACACTATCCCAGCCTTCAAAACCCCATCAGCATCGTAGCTGCTGCCACAAGCCCCTCAGCACCCAACATCCCCACCGCCCATCCGCGCCAGCACCCCACTCCCTCCACCATGGCACCAGCAGCTCCAGCAGCAAATGCACATCCACCTCCACCCCCCATGTACCCCTCCACTCCGCCAACCCCTCCACCCCCAGAGCACTGACACGCGCAGGTCTGGGGTGCAGGCCTGCCTCACTAACCTGGGGCTAGCCCCAGGGGACCTGGGCAGAGGTGAGACTCTGTGCCCAAGGGGGCCCGGGCTAGCATGGGGCGAGGGGCCACCTGCCCCCACCCCACCCCACCAGCCGGCCTCTCTGTGCAGAAGGACACGGATTTCTCTACGAGACGTTCGGCTTCCGGCCGCGGTTCTCCTGGCAGGTGGACTCATTTGGCGCCTCTGCCACGACCCCCACCCTGTTTGCGATGGCGGACTTTCACGCCCACCTCATCTCCCGCATCGACTACGACCGGAAGGAGATCATGCAGGCCACCAAGGTGGGTACCGCTGCCCCACCTGCCCTGGGCGCTCTGGTACCCTGATCCAAGACCCGGGGGCATAGCGCCCCTCACTCCCCACTTGCAGCCCCCGAGCTGCTGTGCTCCTGCTGGGCCAGGGTATGCTGGTCTCAGAGGCCTGAATCTGGCCAAGGTCTGTGCCCCAGGACCACGTGCCCTCGGGGGTGAGGCGGGAGCAGGCAGCTGGTGGCTCCTGCTGGGGGGCAGGGTCCTCCCCCGCCTTACCCCTGCACCGGGCTGCAGGGGCTCGCAAGGAGGAGACAGCACAGGGAGGTGTTCGAGAGAGGACCCCAGTGAGCACAGCCCAGAGCCCCAGGGCGGTGGGGGAGGGGCACCGACTGGGACCTGGGCCCTCACTGTCCCTGGCCGGCCCGCAGGGGCTGCAGTTCGTGTGGCAGGCGTCCCCGTCCCTGCCGGAGCAGCAGATCTTCACGCACGTCCTGGACAAGTACAGCTACTGCTCGTGAGCACGCGCCCGGGGCCAGGTCCTTCTTGGCCGCCATCTGTGCCACCTCAGAAGGGGCAAGAAAGAGAAACTGAGGACCCCTCTCACCCGGGCCCCGGGCGGACAGGCGGCCAGAGCCCCACCCTGTGGGACAGCCACGGGGATGTTTGGAACTGGAGGGCCTGGATCCAAATCCCTCCCCCTGCCGGGGCGTGGCCTGAGGGCAAGGGGGGAGCCCCTCTCTGAACAGGACAGCTGAGCAGACACAGGGATCATCCTGGATGGCTGCTGTGTTCATTAGATTTTCTTTTTTTTTTTTTTTTTTTTTTTTTATAGAGGCATGCTTTATTTATTTGTTTGCTGGTTTGTTTGTTTGTTTTGTTTATACATGCACTGGGTACAGTCAGAAGCGCGGGAGGGTGAGAGAATTCACCAGAGCCAGAGCGGGGAGCAGAGCAGGCAGAGGGACCGAAGGACACTGCTGAGGGGAGCAGCGGGCGGCAGGGGAGGTCTGCGCGCCATGTGGGACCCTCCTCCGGGGGCCGGGGAGCAGCCGGGGATCGAGCCGGCGTCGCAGAGGCCGCGGGCAGCTTCGCAACCCAGCGCTCAACCACTGCGCCACCGGGGAGGCCCCCATTAGATTTTCTTAAGATTTACTTTTATTTATTCATGCATACAGGACTGACTAGAGTCGTAAATGTTGCGCTTAAATCTGGTTCTGGTCTCGGAGGTTCTGGCCCGTCCAGTGCACTCCAGCCAGAGCCTCCCCCCGCACCCTGGCCCTGGCCTGCTCGGGCCCCTCCGCAGGGTCTGAGGGCACGGAAGTGTCCTGACGGAACCAGTCAGCCAGCGGTGCCCTCAGGCCCACAGGGCGGACATGCCACCAAGGTTGCGCTTAGGGAGCAGAAGGAATGGGCCCCCAGTGGGGGGACAGGCCCAGACCCCACTGGGGCACGTGGCACCTGGGCGTGAGCCCGGCTGTCTCCCCAGCTCTGGCTGCAGCCCCTGACTTGGCCACCCCATGGACAGAAGGCAGGAGCCCAGAGCAAAGAGGTGGAGGCCCGGCTGCCTCCCAGGTCCCACCCAGCCTCCCGTCCCTGGCTGTTCCCGTCTCAGGGGTCCCCCCCACCTCCTCTCTCCAGCAGGAAAGGATATTTCTGGGAAGGTGACGTCCTCTTCCCGGACCCACCCTTGAACCAGATCACCATGTTTGACGCCTGGGTGACCCCTGAGAATCTGAAGACCTACGCCTCCGTGCTGGTGAACAACGTCAAGGAGCGGGCCGCCTGGTTCCGGACACCGCACGTCCTCTGGCCCTGGGTAAGGGGGGAACCCCTGTCTGGCATCACCCTCTCTGGGACCCCGAGACTCCTGCCCCGCTGCCCCTCCAGTCTCCAGAGACTCGCCCAGCCTCTCCCACCTGAACGCACGCACCCACCCTCCTCACCCCTGCCTCCTCTTCTGCTTCTGCTTCTGTCCCAAGCTGGAAGCCCGACCAGGGCCACTCCTGCTCTCAACTCTGTCTCCGGGGCTCAGGACTTTCAGGGCCCCAGATTCCTCATCTGGAACCCAGGGGTTGTGGTAGGACCTGTTCCATGGTCTTATTGGTCAAAAGAGAGGGGTTGTGCCAGCAGCAGCACCTGACTCGGTCACTATCGTCACCTCATGGTGTCTGGGCACAGGCCCTGCTCTGCAGGCATGTTCCTCTCCCCACGGCCCTGCCCCGGCCCGCGCCGCAGCCTCTCCTGGAGGCCCGTTCTGCACACAAGGAACTGAGAGCCAGAGAGGTTAGGGCACGTCCCGAGGTTCGGTAGGGTTCAGACCCCACGCCCCAGCTCCCGCAGCAGCCCCCAGCACAGCCTGCCTTCGTTTTCCCAGTCATTTTAGCATGCTTGTCTTCTTGTTACTGTAATTTTAATACAGGTATATAGATTAGCAAAAAATTCCTTAATCCACTAAAATACATACCTCAGGTCCTCAGGCTGATGGGTTTGGCATTTAGAGCAATACACTGTAAATATATATATAACTTAGCATGAGTCCTGAAGCATGACTTAAAATGTGTGTAGGAAACAGAGATACAAAAGAGCGAAAGTTCTACTTTCTCAGCAGCTCACAATAGAATGTGGTATTTGCTAAAGGAAAACAAAACACCTACTGAAAATGACTGTGTCATCACAAATCTCATCCCCTTGGGCTGACAATGACAGAGCCCAAGTGGGTCCTGGTGCTCGTGCTCCTCATGCAGGTGCTGTCAGCACACCTGTCAGTGCACCTGCAGCACACCTGTCAGTGCACCTGCAGCACACCTGTCAGCACACCTGTAACACAGTGGGTCTGATTAAATCTGTCCCGACTCGTGGTCTCACCTTGGTCAGAATGAAGGCCCCACCTCTTCTGGGCCACAGCCCTGCCTCTTCCACCCCTCACACTCACCGCTGGGCATGGCAAAGTCCCACACAGATAATCTAGGTTTCACAGGACTCCTTGGGTGGAACTGCTTATTTATTGTATTTTATTATTGAATCTGCAGTTATGTTTTTTTAAAGATGTATTTATTTATGCATACAAGAGCCGGGGTGTAGGCCAGAGGTGCAGGGTTTGAAAGGATTCACCAGAGACAGAGTGGGGAGCAGAACAGGCAGAGCCACTGAAATGCACTCCTGAGGGGAGCAGCGGGCAGACAGGAGAGGTCTGAGCGCCATGTGGGCAGCTCCCTGGCCAGGGATCGAACTCGTGCAGCAGTGGCTGGCAATAGCTTGATAGCGCTGTCTTTAACCCCTGTGCCACCAGGGAGGCCCTGCAGTTCTTCTGTTTTTTAACTGACATATAACAATATATCCATTTCAGGGGTATGACATAATGAATTCATCTCAAAATACTGCGTAGGGTTACAGTAAGTCTTGTGAACATCCATCACCGAGCATACAAACTTTTTGATAGTGATGAAAACTGTTAGGACCTCCTCTCTCAGCACCTTTGAAACACACAACACAGCGTGGTCAAAGATGGTCACCGATTGTGCGTTACAGCCTCCGGACGCGTCTGATTTATTATTGATCATTGGGACCTTCGCTTCTTTCACCCATTTAGCTGAAGCCCAGGCCCTTTCTAGCAACCTCCAATCTGGGTCTTCCCCCATCTCTTTCATCCATGTCTTATACTTTTCGGCATGTGGTGCTGCACCTCCCCGGCACAATTCACTGTCGTCTGTGGCTTTTGTTACGCTGAGTCAGGTCCCCGCTACAACCACATTGTTCAGAGTTTTTATCGTAACTGAAAGTTGAGTTGCGTTGAATACTTTTTTGCATCTGCTAAGACATCATGACTCTTATCCCTCATTCTGTTGAAGCAGTAGATCACTGATTGATTTGTGGGTGTTGACCTCCCCGTGCATCCCTGGAATAAAACCCCCTGAAACCTGGCGCACCATCCTTTCAATGTATTTTTGAACTTGGTTTGCAAATAATGAGTTTCTACAGTTTTCTTTTCCTGTGGCATCCTTGTTGAGAGTTGGTAGGAATTTGGAAGTATCCCTTCCTGTCCTTTTTTGTTTTTTGGTTTTTTGGGAAGAGTTTAGGAAACACTGCTGTGAATCTTCTCTAAACGCTGGGTAGAATTCACCAGTGATGCGCTCCGGTCCTGGACTTTGGCTTGTCAGGTGACTTTGATGACGGCTGCGAGCGCCCTTGATTAACTCGTCTGCTGAGATTTCTATTTCTTCAGTCTTGCTAGGTTCTAAGTTTCTTGAAATTTATGGATTTTTTAATTTGTCTACCTTTTTGGAAATGAGCTTATAGTTAGTAAGTGTATTATTGTTGTTATTAATAATTATCATGTTTTCATGATGTTGAGCCGTGGAAATACAGGCGGGTGCTAACAGACAGTGGGTGATATGCGTCAGATGAAGACAAGTACTGCGTGATCTTGTTATGTGTAGAATTAATAAAAACACACACATTTGTGGTAAAAAAAAAAAAAAAAGTCCAAATTTAGAGTTCCTAGAGGTGGGAGGAGGGGTGGGCAAAGTGGTTGAAATTTCTCGAAAGAATGCAACCTCCAGATGTAAGACAAGCCAGGATGGGACTGCTGCGTAGCTTGATAATTTTTTAATGAAAGAGAAACAAAGAACAGGATCACCTGTCACCCAGCCACGGGGCGGCCCTGAGCCTTCCTTGGCCCTGTGCAGAGTGGGCATGTGGTCAGCAGGTAAGGCCGCCCTGCCGGGCTGGGCTCTGCTCCCAGCAGCTCAGGGCCTGCTGCCGTGCCTGCCGCAGGGGTGTGACAAGCAGTTCTTCAACGCCTCAGTGCAGTTTGCCAACATGGACCTCCTGATGCGCTACATCAACATGCAGACACGCCTGCTGGGCGTCACGGTGCAGTACGCCACGCTCAGCAACTACTTCCAGGCCCTGCACCAGCTCAGTGGCCCCTGGCCAGTCCATGACCATCGTGACTTCCTGCCTTATTCCTCAGGTATGACTTCTGGGCATCGGGGTGGCAATTGGGTGCCAGGACCCCACTGGGTCCCCTAGACACACTGCAGCTGCCACGCACAGCCTGGTCCCCACCAGGCGCAGGAGTGACCGTTGATTCCATGCTTCTGCTCTTGAAGTGCTCCCTGCCAGGAGTGCCCTCCTCCCGCCACGCTCCTGCAAAGTCTTACTGAGCTTGAAAAGTCACCTCCTCCAGGATGGCTTTCCTGATCTGAAGGCTAGACCAGGCGGCTCATTCGTGTCCCCACAAACCCCAGGTCCCCCATTGCTTCGACATAGTCATTATCAGGGACCGTTATGTCTGCATGTAAGGCTGGACTATGCCAGCTGCAGACAGTACGGCCTAAGGATCCGAACAGCCAGACTTGGAACGCGCCTCCCCGCTGGTTACAAGCCCCGAGCACGCTGTGCCATATGCTGGGGGTGCTCACAGGCCTGTCAACAGAGGGAGAAATTTCCTTGTCTAGGGCCCAGCACAGAGCAGGGGCTCCACATGCAGCTATACCAGGCAGGCTGGCACCCGTGCCTGCCAGCCTGGTCCCTGCCCCTGCCCGGCGTGATCCCTGTGGTCCCGCCCTGGGGGCTCACTCAGGAGCAGGGACTGTGAAGGCCACATCTTCAGCACACTCCCCCAGGCAGCCCCAACCTCCTCCTGCTGAGCTTCCCATAGCCCGGGGCCAGCCTGTGTGGGTCGGGGAACAAGCGCTGGCTGAGAGGCCTTGCTCGGCCTCGCCTGCTGTGCTGGTCAGCCTGTGCTCATCAGGCCTCTGGGCACCCCTCCTTCCCATCCGAGCTGCTGGCTGCAGAGGGACATGCTGCCTGGCAGGCCTGTCCCGGCCCTGGGGGGGGGGGTCACACAGAAGCAACCCCCATGCTCAGGACCTTCCCTGCCGGGTAGGCCCTCCTGTCCCTCATATCCCAGCTGCCCTCGGGACCCCAGGCCCTTTGCTGCGTGGCCATTCCAGGTCTCCCAGGCACACCCAGGGCTGCCATCTCCCATCATAGCACCCCCACTCCAGGCCTGCCCCACCAGACAGATTGTGCCACCTGCCCAGCGGCCCTCAGGGCACCAGGCCCTTCTGGGTGTGTGGGGTGGAGCTGGGCCACTGCCAGCCCGCCTGGGGCTGCTGCTGGGTCAGCTGGCCCTCCCCTGGGCCCGCTTCCTCCGCTCCTCCCAGGTCAGAGTTCAGGGGTCCCCACGGGAGACCCACGCCCGCTGCTGGTCTTGTCCCCAGAGCCGCCCAACACCTGGACCGGCTTCTACACCTCCCGCAGCGGCCTGAAGGGGCTGGCGAGGCGAGCGAGCGCCCTGCTGCACGCGGCGGAGTCCATGTTCGTGCGGCACGTGTGGACGGCGCCCGGCTCGACCCCGCAGCTGGCCTGGGCCCTGGGGCAGCTCCAGCAGCTCCGCTGGGCCGTCTCCGAGGTGACGCAGGCTCCGCGGCAACCGTAGGATGGCAACCTCCTGGGCAGGGGCTCCCCCTCCCCGAGGTTAGCCAACGCTCCGGGTCGCAGAGGTCACTCTGCAGAGGGGCGCCAGGTCACTTGGGGACAGGGGCGGGGTGGGGGGGCTGAGGCTCGCCAGGCCAGGCAGGACCGCTCCAGCTGCAGCCTGAGAGCCCGGCCTGGGCAAGGGAGGGCAGAGCAACGTGGTGTCCCCAGGCCTGCCGGGCGGCCCCGCTGTGCGGCCTCAGGCTCCCTCCTCTCCCGAGCCTGAGGCCCTCCGGGACCCGCCAGCACGGCCGCTGCGAGGGCAGCCCCGAGAGTGACCGGCCCTGTGCCCCGCCCCTGCGGGGGCAGCCACTGCAACAGTCCGGAGACGTCCATGCCCACTGTCCCCAGGGTTGCGGCCCTGGGAGTGCCACAGCTTGTCCTCCTGCCATGGCCAGAACGGGCCACGCCAGCCTCGACGCCTGCACGGCCATCTGAGGGCCATGAGCCGGGAAGCATGGGCGACAGGACCTCATCAGAGCCGGTGCCCAGGGGGTCGCCCTGCGTGTCCCGGTCCCTCAGGGGCTTCCTGCCCAAGCTCAGTGCAGAGACGTGTCCAGGTTACCATGGAGCCTGCCTGGAACACGAGGGCCACTGACGGGAGACAGCGCCCAGAGTGCAGGGGGTGGGCCCTCCAGGAGGCTCCTTGCCCCCCAGGTCGAGGGACTGGGCGCCCAACACAATGCCGGGCAGATCCACCACTACCCACCCACCCCCAAGCCTGGTTCCTCCAGGCAGGTGGGACACCCCTTCTGCACCAGGGCGGCCAGAGCAAGGGAGCCAGGCCCAGGCCGGTGCTGGTGGCCGCTCCACCCTGCCGCCCGCCCCAGGTGCAGCACCATGACGGCATCACCGGGACAGAGACGCCCAAGGTGAGGGACATGTACGTGAGCCACCTGAGGGCGGCCACGCGGGGCGTGCACAAGGTCATGGACTCCATTGTGAAGGGCAGCACCAAGACCCACGCAGGTGAGCCGGGCTCTGCGGGACTCCAGAGGCCTCGGACCTGGCCCAGCCTGGCTGGCTGCTGCCCCTCCGAGCCCAGCTGGGGTGCAGCCATTTCTCCAGCCTCCTGACAGGGAGGTCCCGGGCACAGAGCTGCCATCCCGCCAGCTTGCTGGGATGAGGGCAGTCGGTCCAGAAAGACCCCACACGTGGTGCCCGGGGCAGGAGCAGGACGTGTGCTATGCCGCAGCCTCCGCCCTCGCTCCGGCCCACATGCAGCCTGCCCTGCTCCGCTGTCCCTCCCCTCTCCAGCCAGGGGTCCCAGGGCAGCTCAGAAGTAGCCACAGGGGGCCTCCCTGGTGGTGCAAGGTGTTAAGACACAACCTATGAGGCTTTCCGCAGCCACTGCAGCGTGAGTGCAATCCCCGGCCAGGGAGCTACCCACATGGCGCGGCAGACCTCGCCTGTCTCCCCGCTGCTCCCCTCAGCAGTGTGTGTCAGTGGATCCGCCTGCTCTGCTCCCCACTCTGTCTCTGGTGAGTCCTCTCACCCCCTGTACCTCTGGCCTGTGCCCCAGCTCTTGTGTGCATGAATAAATAAAGCTTTAAAAAATTCATTAAAAAAAAAAGAAATAGCCACAGGACCAGGGCGAGGCTGGACTTGAGTGGCCGCTGCAGGGCGAGCCCTCGCGGTTGAGCTCAGGAGTTACCTGCTGAACCAAAGCCACGCCCCGGGGGCCCCTCGGGCGATCTCCCCGAATCTCAGGGTACCACTGAAGTGACTTGACGTGAGAAGAAGCCAACTCGAGAGGAAACTGAATGAACTGGGTTGTCCCCAGAGGCTTGTGTTTGCAGAAAATACTGTGAAAGCGGCCACTTCAAGCAGGTCAAGACTGGCGTGGAGACTTCACAGAAGTGGAGAGAAACGCGGCTCCAACAGCAGCTATTAGATGAACTAAGTGGGGGCCTCCCCGGTGGCGCAGCGGTTGAACGCTGGGTTGTGAAGCTGCCCGCGGCCTCTGCAGCGCCGGCTCGATCCCCGGCTGCTCCCCGGCCACCAGAGGAGGGTCCCCCATGGCGCGCAGACCTCTCCTGCCGCCCGCTGCTCCCCTCAGCAGTGTACTTCGGTCCTTCTGCCTGCTCTGCTCCCCGCTCTGGCTCTGGTGAATTCTCTCACCCTCCCGCGCTTCTGACTGTACCCAGGGCTTGTATGAATAAATAAATCAAACAAATAAATAAATAAATCTGAAAAAAAATGAAAAAGAAGTGAGGCTGGTCCTAAAAAAGTTCATTTGCTCTCTCTTCATTTCTAATAAGAGCTGTATTGACATATAATTCACCTACCATTATATTCTCTCTTTTTTTTTAAGGAGAATATATTCACAGCCTGTATTCACAGACTCTTGCAGCCATGGCCACCATTACTTGTTACCTTGCGCTGGATATGATGACCATGTGCCAGGCTGCAGGGCCGCACCGAGCTCCGGCCACCGCCCGGGCTGGCGTCTCACGAGCCGCAGCGGGAGCTTCGCAGGCCTCAGGCCAGAGGCGGGAGGAGGCGGGTGTGTGCAGAGAAAGAGAAAGTTCACTGAGGAGAAAAGGAAGGAAATAAAGGGGGGCTCCCGGCGTGAAAGCAGCCCAGGGAGGGGCGAGGAAGCCACAGTGAAGCCGCGTCTCAGGGAATTTATGCCTTTTTCCCTCATTATTCCCTAATTATTCCACCCGCCTCTCCCGGCTGGCGCTCTCGGCTCTTCACTCGTCTGCTGCTGGGGGGGCTGCACCGTCCCCCTCCCGCGGGTTTGTCTGTCCCCGGGTGTTGCATCTCTATCCTCATGGCCCGTCCTCGGATGGGCGCCCCGGCCTTGAAGGGGAGCAGCTGCCCGGCTACGTCGTCCGTAGATTAAGCCACTGTCCACTTCCCCGTCTCCGCCTCCCGCTGTCACCTGAGGGAAACCAGGTGTTGTCCTTGGCCCTGGATGTTTGTCTTTCCAGGCGGAAGCAGTGACCCTCCTCCAGCTGCCCGTGTCTCTGAAGCCTTCCTCCGCTCTCCGGGGCCCTCCTGCAGTGTCCCTAAAGCTGCCTGATGACCCTGACTTGCCCTGTGTCTCACCGGGAAGGCAGAAGCGGGAGGCGGCGGATGCCCGGCTAGGCCCGTGCCGCCCCCCCCCACTCTGCTCCCTCCGTGCAGCGTCCCCCTCCACACCCCAAGTCCCTCCTGCCCTGCCTGCGACTCACCCCCCCTTCCGAGGGCCTAGAGGGTCCTCACGCCCTGTTCTTCCTCACAAGGGCCGCCAGAGGGCGCCATGGATGGGGGCCTGAGAGATGGGGTGACCCCCCATGACCCCCAGCCCCAGGGTAAACCGAGTGGCCCACCAGGTTGTCCCGTTTTGCTAGGGAGGAGAGATGGGGTGGGGCCAGAGCTGCTTGCCCAGGGCCCAGGGCCCGGCAGGGGCGAGGGAGGAGCAGCGGGCTGATTTGTGCGTTCACAGCAGGAAATGGTGTATTAGGATTTACTTATCCTTCAAACAAAATTTGCATTTTAAGGGGCCTCCCTGGTAGTGCAGCCGTTAAAGACCGGCTATCAAGCTACTGCCAGCCACCACAGCACAAGTTCCATCCCCCAGGCCAGCCAGGGAGCAACCCACATGGCGCAGACCTCCCCACACCTCTGGCTCACACCTCAGTTCTTGTGTGCATAAATAAATTAATCTTTTTTAAAAAATTGCATTTTAAGAAACTTTTCTCACCCTCGCGTGTAGAGCCGGACCTCTCCTCTCCCGTGTGATGATCTCGTCACAGGCGCTCATGTATCTCACTATTTGCAAAAGTCAAAGACAGGAAATTCTGCAGAGGCGGGTGACGCAGCCACAGGGCCGCAGACCACAGCTGCAGGACAGGCCCTGTCAGCCTCACCTAGGTCACCACTGTCTGCTGTGGCCCCGTTGTCTGTCGTTCCACGGCTCACCCCATGCTGGTGACATCGTTGCGGGGTGTGGTTTGCCATTGAACAGAGGGCGGTGTGAGCCAGCAGGTGTGCGGTGAACCCTAACACCCCACACTGGACCTGGGAGCACCCTGCTCTGGAGGCGCTGTCTCCCGGGTGCAGAACCCCTGGCCCAGAGCCTCAGAACGGGACTGTATGTGGAGAGCGCCCCAGGGGTCACGGCTCGAGTTCTCTGCTGGCTTCAGAGCTGGGATCAGAGAACAAAGGACTTAGACTTTACTGGCTGAGAAGCCAGGAATGTGGACCTGGCCCCAGTCTGCGGGCTCATCCCAGGGGGTCCAGTCATCACTGCCCGTCGTGGGCACCCACCGCACCCAAGGTCATGCAGAGCTCACGAGCATCTCCTGGGGCCTAAGCCCAATGCACCCACACACCAGCTTGAATCTGGTCTCGGGGTCTGTGACTCCCTCCTTTTGCCACAGTCAGGGACCTTGATACACCGGATGGAGATAGTGCAGGAATGTGCAGACTCAGTGATAAAAATAATGACCAAGGAAGTGCACATGCTGGCCAGGCCTTTTGCTGAGTCATCTGGTTTGTTTGGCCTTTTTTTTTTTTTAAGATTTATTTATTTATGCATACAAGAGCTGGGGTGCAGGCCAGAGGTGCGGGGGGATTCACCAGAGACAGAGTGGGGGGCAGAGCAGGCGGATATACTGAAACACACTGCTGAGGGGAGCAGCGGGGAGATAGGAGAGGTCTGCTGTGCCATGTGGGTAGCTCCCTGCCCGGGGATCAAACTCAGGCCGATGCAGTGATAGCCTGAGACTGACCCCTAGGCCGCCAGGGAGGCCCTGGCCTTTATTTAACCAAGTTCTCCAGTTGGAACAGCAGAGTTCTGTCCTGGTCCCAGGCCCCTGCCTGTCTCTGGTGCAGTAACAAAGGCTGCCGGCAGCGGGCCCCAGCTGTGGCAGTTCTAAGTCAGCAGACGCGGGTGCCGGGAGCAGCAGCGGCGGGAAGGCAGAGCTTCTTGGCAGGGAGACCCTTTATCTTACGCGGGGGCCTCTTTTTTCCCATTTCATACTTCTGCCCTTAAGTTCTACTTTATTCCTTTATTTTTCCACGTTCATCCTCACTTCCTCACAGGTGTGCTGCTTGTGAATAACACATTTCTGAATTTTAGCTGCCACTTCCTGTCTTTTAAGGACCAGTATGTTCGCAAATGGAATTTTATCATTTCTCTGCTATTCATCGCTCTGGCCTTTTCATTTTTCCTTTCTTTTTCACTGCTCACATGTCTCTTCATTTCTTACCTTTGTTGGATGCTGGGGGCGGCTTGACCTGGGGTTAAGCCTGTCCTGGGGCCTGTCCCAGGGGTTAAGAGCCACTTGCCTTGGGAACACCCCTCAAGGCAACACGTCCCCAGTGCCTGGTCAGCTTTCTCCTTTCTTCTTTTCCTGTCATTACCTTGAAAGTCCTACTAATCTTTTCAGTTTTGTTAGCTGTCACTCCCAGGCCTTTTGCCCCAATCATCATAAATAAGCCCCTATTTCTATCAAATTAAAGCCATCACTGTGCTACCCACACCCAGAGGCTGCCGCTGCCCCTTCCCTCCTGCCCACCAGCAGATGCGGCCTGCGGCCCTCGGCCTCGCCCCGTCCAGCTCCGACAGGCTGAAGCTCGGGGTGGAGAGACATTCAAGCCTGAAGAAGAAGGAAGAGAGAGCAGAGGAGCTGGGTGGCCTGTGCCTCCCTCGTGGGTCCGCAGGGTCAAGCCCATCTGCCCCCCACATCCTCAGGGGCGCCAGCCTCCCCCCAACCTTGAGAACCGGAGCGGCTGGGCCACTGCTCTCCTGCCCTCCCACCAGCCCTGTGAGGCCCCAGCCCTGCAGGACCAGGTGTACATCTGGGCAGTGCCCCCTTGGGGACTGATTAAGGCTGGTCCATGCTCCAGGGCTCCCCTCCAGGCTTCAGCAGCATCCCCTTTTCTGCTGTTCTGCAGGGTTCAGGGCCAGGCACAGGACTCGGAGTCCCCAAGTGCCTGCCTCACCGCACTTGGTCCGGGACAAACTGTCCTCCAGCCCCCAGCTGGGGAGGAACACGTTCCCATCACTGCCCGCAGAAAGCGTGGCTTTCTGCTCACGAAGCCTGGGGGCTGCCTGTCGTGGGCAAGAGTGTTTTTGCAAAACTGCAGCGTTGAATCTGTGTAGTGTTTGGGCTGAGAGCAAAGAAAAATTACAGACATTCCTGGGGGCACCGGGCCGGGTATGTGGACACAGGGCAGGGCCCGGAGAACCAGCAGCAAGGCACGCAGCACTGTCTGTAGGAATTTGAAAACAAGTTACACCACTGGACCTGTCTGGCTTCTGGTATCACTACACATCTGAAATTCTGAACCTGCCAGTGGTGGAAGCACTGCTGCTGAGTGGCAGCCCACCAGGAGCCCCCAAAAGTGCTGCTGTCACCCAGGAGATTCCAGGGGGCTCAGAGCCCTGAGTTGGGAGCCCGGCTGGGACCAGATGCAGGACAAGGCAGGCAGATCATGTCACTGGCGCTCTTGCCACTAGGCGGACAAGGGCGTAGCAGCTCTGGCTCAGGAGTCCGGCCGACACTATCTGGTGTGTGTTATATTATCTCAAGAACTACCTGAAATACTGAGTAAATAGCTGTTCCTTCAGGAGAGTGGGGACCTTGTAGAAAATTTTAAAACATAGATCCAGTAACTGATGGATCAAAAAAATCATAGGGGCCTCCCCAATGGCGCAGCGGTTGAGCGCTGGGTTGCGAAGCTGCCCGCGGCCTCTGCGGTGCCGGTTCGATCCCCGGCTGCTCCCCGGCCACCGGAGGAGGGTCCCCCATGGCGCGCAGACCTCTCCTGCCGCCCGCTGCTCCCCTCAGCAGTGTATTTCATCAGTCTGCCTGTTCTGTTCCCTGCTCTGGCTCTGGTAAATTCTCTCGCCCTCCTGAGCTTCTGACTGTGCCCAGTGCTTGTATAAACAAAAACAAACAAACAGATAAAATAAATAAATAAAACATGCCTCTATTTAAAAAAAAAAAATCATAGTAGGGAAAAGTATGATTAGAACTAGATAATAATAAAAATACAAGTATCAAAAGCTGTGGGATGCAACTAAAGCCATACTGATGGAACATCCGACCTTAAATGCATATATTAGGAAAAAATAAAAATATTATTGGGTTCAGAGTGTAACTTTTTAGGCTCCAAGAGCCAAATGAGTGGTGAGCAGAAGCGGGGGGGAGGTCACTGGGGCGAAGGGAATCCATGGATGGCCAAGGTGGACTGGATGTGGCCAGCGTGAGCACAGCCTCTTCCACCCAGATGCTGATTCATCATGCTGTGCGTCGGGAAGCCATCTAGTGTTATAAACTAACTTTACTTCAAAAAAATTTTCATTTAAAAAGTAGGGGCCTGCCTGGCGGCGCAAGGGGTTAAGCACAGCACTCTGAGGCAATCTGCAGCCTCTGCAGCACAAGTTCGATTCCTGGCCAGTCAGAGCTACCCACATGGCGCAGCAGACCTCTCCTGTCTCCCCACTGCTCCCCTCAGCGGTGTGTTTCAGTCAGTCTGCCTGTGCTGCTCCCCGCTCTGGCTCTGGTGAATTCTCTCACCGCCCCCTCCTCTGGGCTGCACCCCAGCTCTTGTATGCATAAATAAATCTTTAAAAAAAAATTTTAAAAAGTATAACCTAGGAAATTAAAAAGGGGACACAGAATTAACCCAAGGAAGGCGATAATGACGACAAAACAGAAATTCATCAAAGCGAAGCCAACACAGGCCGTGGGGCCGCCCCGTGCCCGCCCCTGGAGAGGGGCGCCCCTAGGGCCCCGGCCAGGAACCCCCGCCGGTGCGGGAGGTCAGGGGCTCGGGCAGGGGCTCGGGTCAGGGCCCCGGGCGCGGGTGAGGGGCGCGGGTGAGGGCCGGGGTGCGGGTCAGGGGCGAGGGTGAGGGCTGGGGCCCGGGTCAGGGCTGGGGCGCGGGTCAGGGGCGCAGGTCAGGGGCGCCGGTCAGGGCCAGGGCGCGGGTCAGAGGCGCGGGTCAGGGCCGGGTGCGGGCCCCAGAGCACCGCCCCCGGGCGAGAAACGCTTTCCGCAAACAGCACAGGCCGCGCCACGCCGGCGGGCGCCCCGCCCCGGCCTCCCCCCCCCCCCCCCCCCGCCTGCGCGCGCTGGGCGCCGAGCCGCCCTCCGGAGTCGGGGAGCGCGCGCCCGAGCGCGGCCGGCCGCGGGCGGGGCCCGGGGAAGGGGCGGGGCCGGGGCCGGAGGGCGAGCGTGCGCGCTCGCGGCCGCGGCGGCGCCCCCCGGGGCCCCCGTGGACGTGCGCGCGCCCGCCGGACGTGGGCTCCGCGGCGCGGCCGTAAAGCGGCGCGCCGCGTCGCGAAAGGGGCCGCCGCCGGCGGGGCGCTGCTTGACGGCGCGGCCTCCATTTTGTTCGCCGCTGCTCTGCCCGCGAGTCGCCTCTCGCCGCGGCCTCCCGACGCGAAAAGTTTCCAAGCGGCGAAAGTTTCCTCGCGGGCCCCGGCCGCGGTCGCTCGCCGCGCGGTGCCCCTGTCCCCCGCAGGCGTCGAGAGCGCGGAGCGGCGGCGCCATGCGGCCCCTGGACGTGGCGGAGCCGGCGGAGCCCGAGGAGGTGGAGGTGCTGGAGCCCGAGGAGGACTTCGAGCAGTTCCTGCTGCCCGTCATCCACGAGATGCGCGAGGACATCGCGGCGCTCACGCGCGAGCACGGCCGCGCCTACATGCGCAACCGCAGCAAGCTGTGGGAGATGGACAACATGCTGGTCCAGATCCAGACGCAGGTGGAGGCCTCGGAGGAGAGCGCGCTCAACCACCTGCAGGGCGCGGGCGACGGCGCCGAGGCGCGGCCCCCCACGCGCGGCGACCAGGCGGAGGAGAAGGCGCAGGAGCTCGCGAAGATGGCCGAGATGCTGGTGCAGCTGGTGCGGCGGATAGAGAGGAGCGAGTCGGCGTGAGGCGGCGGCGGTGAGCGGGGCCCGGGCCCGCCGGCCGTGGGGCGGGGGTTCGGCCGAGGCCCGTCGCGGGCGGCCGCGGGGCCGTGGCCTCCGAGCCTGCGGGCGGGGGGCTGCGGGGCGAGGGGTGCAAGCCGAGAGCCCCCAGAGCGAAGGCCGCTGCTGGGCCGGTCCAGATTTTGCTGGAAGGCGGGGAGGAGGGGGCTTTCGGCGCGGCTGGAATTTGAGGGGGGCTTGAGCCGGGTTGGGGGGGTGGCGGGGGGTTCCCTCGGCATTAACCTCTTGCGTTTCTCCACATTGTGTTTCAGGTTAGCGGCCAGTGGGCTCCGGGCACTGGCGGAGATTGGCTGATACCCTGGAAGCTGAAACCAGAGAGCCTGTTGTTTTCTCTCTTTCTGTCTGTCTTCTTTTTCCTTCTGTCCACACCGCCCTCACTGACACTACGTTTCTGCTACAGTCTGTGGTTGATGACCTCAATATGCGTTTTGACTGTTAAGTGTTTTTGTTTGGAGAGGTAACTTACTCGGAAGACGCGCTCACGTAGGAGAATGAGTCCTGGATTGTAAACGCCTGCAGCGGTCACATTTGTTCCTGGGCTTTGATTATTTCTAAATTTTGAGGTGCTTTGTTTTTTTGTGTGACCTGATAGCTCCCTGGAACTTTGGGTCTGTGTGTGACACGTGGGACTCGCAGTTGGGGTCCTCCCGCTCTGGAGGTGCTGAAGGAGCTGCGTTACTTCTAGAAGCTGACTCCGTGCAGTGGCAGCTCAGGCTGAAGAAGGGACCAGCCTTCAGCTGGGGGTGAGACCGGAGCTGACCTGGCTGGAGGACTGGCGGAGCAGGAGGACTAGAAGATGGTGTCGCGTGCATCTTGGGACTTTCATTTCTCTGTGAGACCAAAGGAGGAGAGATGTGTTTTGTTCAAAATTTAATCTCATGTGACACACTATCCGATGTAAACTTGTATGGTCGTTTCATTTGGACAACTTACACAGAACCTAGAGTGGGAGGCCAGAGCCTGATGTTGCGTACACGCTGGTGCATACCCTGATGCATCTCGGGTCATCTGATGGGGGAGATTCGCAGACATCCTCGAGGGTCTGGGAAGGAAAGCAGGGACTGTTCGCGCTGGACCCTCAAGCTGGCAGGGACCGCGTAGCTAAAGGTTCGTAAGTTGTCCGACTCTGAGTTCATTTGAGTAGCAGACCTGACAAGTATTTGAGGTCAAAACCCAACCATGTGTAAAAAGCAAATTACCATGTTAATAAAAGTATTCATTTGCTTGGAAAAATGAGTTGAAAAGTTATTGACTAAGACACTTCATTTCTCTTAGAATGAAATCTTTCTCTTTGATTGTCATTGCCAAGTGGGGGTTAAATTTCCAGGGGTTTTGAGGCTCTCAGTAACCTCTTGTCAGAGGGAATGTTTACCTCCCAGGACGGCCGTGGGGCCTGAGCTAGCACAGAACGAACCTCGTTCTTAGTGTAGGAAGAATCTTGCCGGCCTTGCCTGAGCACCAGAGTACTTTCCACCTATCGTCCTAGAAAACCAGACGTGTTCTCTTGTCCACGTGCGAGGGTTACGGACAATCGCAGTGGGGTGTTTCCTTCAGAGGTGGACTTCCCCCAGCTGCAGGAATGTTGCCGGCGGGCCCCTACCTCTTGCGTAAGAACTGCCTTAGCCAAGGCCACACACCCCCCCTTTCCGGGGTGACCCATCTCCAGTTAGCTATGTCTAGTGGGCTGGGAATCTCAGGGTCCTGTCCTCTCACTACAACTTGGGACAACTTTGAATCCCAGCATCAGAGCTCCCGGTGGGAGTGCCTCACCCCCACTACTGCCAGTCTTCACGCCTTCCTGGCACAGCTCCTAACTCCTAATTAACCTGCACTCCAATTTTCATCTTAGAATCTGCTCCCTGGGAAACCCAGCTACATGTCAAGCAATAGAAAGCCAGCGAGATAACCATGCCTTAGCACGGGTGGCAGGGGGAGTGAAGAGGACATTGCAAAGCAAGTAACTGATGGACTTGGTCTTGACAGAGGAGTACAGCTGTCAAGGGTGGAGAGGAGAGGGCTGCCCCTCGCCAGGGGACGCCAGTGCTTGGAAGGGTCTGTGAACCGCAGTATTGGGGAGCAGTGGCTGGGGAGAAATTCAGGACCAGGAAACAACCCAGAGTTCCATTTCGCACATTTGTTAAAACTAGAAAATTGACAATACTCTGACTGCAGATTGGATTCTGGTTGCCCAGTTCCCGTGACTGCCCTGCGGTCTTCAGATGCCACGTTGTACTTGATTGATTTTTAAAGTGGTGAATACAAATGGCACAAGATTGAAAAGGAATAGACGTCTCCGCTCCTGGGCAGGCCTCCCCAGAGCCCACCCAGGAGACGCCATCTCTGTCCTCCCAAGCGTGCACGTGGGAGCACGCTAGAGGACTTCTCCTTCGCCCGCCTTTTGGTTTTTTAAAACACAACTGGTCGCACGCTACCACTCTGTAAATAAAGTGTCTAGATAAACAGACATCTCTGGAGAACTTATCAGTCATTGCACAAAATCCTTTTTACATAATGTCAGATTCAATTTACTAGTATTTTGTTGAGGACTTTTGCATCTTACTCTAAAGCCATCGTTGGGAAGTCGCCCTCTCTAAGCCTGGATCTCCGCGTTCTGTAATGGCTGCAGTGTTCGTATTACCGTCAGCTGTCAAGTAGCCACAGATGACTCTTACTACACAAATGTCTGCGAACTATTGGCCTAAATTCTTGTTTTTTAAAGGTTTATTTGATTTACTTATGCACACAAGAGCTGGGGTGTAGACCAGAGGTGCAGGGGGTGAGAGGATTCACCAGAGAATGATGGGGAGCAGAATAGGAGGCTCTACTAAAATCCCCAGTTGATGGGAGCAGCGGGAGAGGCAGAAGAGGTCTGCTATGCCATGTGGGTCAGCTCCCTGGCTGGGATCGAACTCTTGTCGCAGTGGCTGGTGGTAGCTTGATAGTCTGTCCTGGGGCCTGTCAGCAATTGGAGGAGCACTCAGATCTTGCGTTTTCTAACAGAGATTGAGGGCGCCACCTGAGCGTGGCCGTATAGCCCTGAAGCTGAGTCTGGCTTGCAGAACATTTCAATATTGCGCATGTCTCTCCTGAGCCAGAGCTCCCTGCCCCTATGGGTCAGGTCATGGCCAGTTGTTCAGAGACCCCCTCGCAGTGCTGGGACAGGTGCCTGACACCCTAGAAGACCCTGAAGCTCACTGTTTCAGGTGTAACAAGTGGCCTTTATGTCAAAGCGCGGTTGCAGAGAGTAGAGGGCGCCTGGGAGCCTGGTGGTCTGGAAGGGCACCTGGGAGATGGTGAGGGGTTGAGCTCTGGCGAGAAACGTAGGCAAGGTGTGCAGGAGGCTCTACGTGTGCAGGCCGGCGGGGGGGGGGGACCGCAGAGCACACAGACCTTCTGCTCCGCGTGTTATGCCAGCTGAGACGACCACTGGGGAGGGAGAAAGTTCATTCTCAGGGACAGTTTGACAGGACTGGTGGCAGGGAACACGGCCGTCAGCCCTGAGGGTGAGGGGGCATGAGGGAAAGTCTGCCGCCAGGGGACAGGAGGCCGGTCCTACCCCCGCTGGAGACAAAACCTCAGGTCCAGACGGCCACGGGGTAGAGGGCTGGAGGGGGCCTGGCTCCCAGCCTCCCTGAGGCGCACCGTCGGCGTGACCTCGGTGGATGCTGCTTGTCTCTAAGGTTCTTTCCAGCCTGCCATTCCGAGTGACTTCTAGAATAGAGCCGCGCTGGGAGAAAATGCTTAGAGGCCATCCGTGCTATTCACCAAGTAACTTTCAATTCTCTGCCTCCCAGGCCCTTAGTAGGGCCACCTTCCCAGCCCCCTTGTGGTGGTGGTGGAGGTGGTTGTGGCGATGATGGGGGGTGGTGGCTAAGTCAGTGAGTTGTGAGGGCGTCTCCCAGGTCACATGAGAGCCAGAACGCCCGGCTTGAGACCCTCCAGAGTTCTCTCTCCCCCCACCGCTCTCTCTTCCAGATGAGGGTGGGTCAAAGGCTGGTGAGTGGGTGGGGTCTCCTGCCCCTCTACAATGAATGTGCGGCACAAACAAGGGAAACCCTCGGTGGTTTCCAGCCACTGGGATGTGATGACCGGTGGAGACCCTGTCTTCCTCTCCTGGGGACGGGCGGCCGCCTCCTCTTCGAGGCTACCCTCGCTGTCACCGCGTCCCAGGTCACGGCTGACAAATGATCTCCTTTTGGATGTGTTTCCAGCTATTGGCTTTTCTCTGCCCACTGAGGATTCCCAGTTGGGAAAGGAAACCCAAGTTCATGGCCCTGGCCCTGGAAACCCTCCCCTTGACGGCAGCAGGTAAACAGGGACCCGTTTGGGTTTCTACCATGTCGCAAAGGTGAGTGGGGTGAGTTATCTGGTCAACACTGGCCAGGTAAATCCAGATCCATCCAGCGCTTGTGCCAGCCCCTGCCCAGCACGAGCCAAACCCTCCCTAGCCACGCTGCCCCTTCCGTGTGCTCTTCTCTGTCCATTCTGTGAGCCACAAGGCCCCCCCCATGCTCCTCTTCCCAGGCTCCTCCGATTGGTGATGATTTGCCAGTTGTTTACACGACTGAATCTGGGAGCACAAGTGCACGTGCTCACTCACCCCCCACCAAAGCGCTAGTGCCCGTATCCTGTCACGGCCTCTCCCCTGCCCCCTCCTGTCTCACCCCAGCCCTTCTCAGAACAACCTATTTCTACAGAGACTAGGAATTTCTTTTTGTTCTGCTTTGCCAGTTTGTTTTCTTTGTACCATGCTACGATCCAGTGAAATCCCTGGGTAACTGTCTTTCACTCCGACTTCTTTTTACCCGTTGAGGTTTCTTTTCATTCATGCCGGCAGCATTTTTACTAATATATGTCGTCTCATAAATGTCTCACAAATATATGTCTCATAAATGTCGTGGGTTTCCTATGTGTTTTATTTCATTCCACTCCTGTACCAAAAGCCGGGGAGTTCTTTTAACGATATATTTAGCTCTCCAGATTTAACTACTGCTACTGATGAGAAGATATATTATTGAGCAAATGAATACAATAAAGATTCCAGCAGAACTTCCAGCCCAGGTGCCATGAACATTCCAATGCAGGCGTCGTCAACAAGTTTGCTTCCTTACAGCTCCTTCCCTTTCAAGATTCATAGCCGGGGCCTCAGCACTCTTCTCTACAAGGTCCGGCAGCCAAGCAGTTGGTCTGTCTCTCCAAGGCCAACCCTGAATGCCGCATCTTTCCCCGCCTGCCTTGCCCCTCTTGTCTGGGGACTTTGCTGCAAACGGTTGTGCCTGCTACAAAATGCTATCAGTGTAACAGCCATGGACACAGGTGTGTATAAAAGGAACCCTTGGTGTTTAAACCTGTGCTCAGACCTTACCGGCTCCGCAGGTCTAGGACCTCATGCATGAGTAATAAAGCTTCTCCTGCCCTCACCATTCCTCTGCCTGGGGAAAAGGCTAGAATTAATTTCTACCCTACTCAGCCCTGTCGGCTGTGGTAAGGCCGCGTCCTCCGGAGTCCGGGGAGGCGGTGGTGCACAGAATTTTAAGATGCTCCCGGGCATCACTCCTGGGGTTGTGTTATCTTACGTTGCAGCAGATGCTTCAGTCGCACCCAGTGTGATCACATGAGCCCCTTGAAAGGGGAGGGTGTATGTGCGTGTGCATGTGTGTGCACCTGCGCGCAGGGTTGTGGGTGCGTGCGTGTGCGCTTGGTGCAAGGGTGTGTGTGCGCGCAGGGGTGTCTGTGCAAGACCCTGGGAGGGGGTGCCCAGAACTGTGCCCAGAAGCCGCTGACGGGCGGGACCTGTTGCTCGCGCGCGGGCGCCGAGGCGGCCCCTGCACGCCCACCAGCCTCGGGAGCCGGCTGAGCCCAGACAGCCGCGCCCGCGCCCCGCGCCCCGCGCCCCGCGCCGGAGCCCCCAGCCCTGCCCCGCCCTGCGGCGCGAGCACGTGCGCGCCCGGCGGAGGCGCCTGCGGCCCGGAGCCCCGAGCCCGCCGCGAGGAGGCGGCCGCCCGCTGCCAGGCGCCCGGGCCGGGGCGCGCGGGGCTGGGGCGGCCCCTGCGGCTCCACCCGCGGGGGGACGGGCGGCGGGGCGGGGCGGCCGCGCGAGGGGGGCGGCCGGGCTCGGCGGCGGCGGGGCGGGGCGGGGCGGGGCGGCCGCGGGAGTGTCCCGGCCCGAGGCCGCCCGCGTGGAAGTGGGGCGGCGGGGAGCCTGGGTGACGCCCGGGCCCTCGGGGACAGGGGAGGGCGCTCGGGAGCTGCGGGCGCCTGTGAGGGCGCGGGGATGACGGCGCCCCCGGGGGAGGCCGCGTCCCGCCCCGGCGCCCCGCGGGGTTCGCCCCAGGCCCCAGACAGCCTCTCTCTGCGGTGCGGGCGCTGCCCAGGCCCAGCCCCGGCCATCGCTCCCGAGGCTCCTGCTGGCCGCCGGGCTCGTCCTTGGAGACGCGGGGCCGGGCCGGCCTCTCCGTGAAGGACCCGCCCGGGCGGCGACTTCATCTGCTTCTCGGGGCGCGCGGGGCGCCTCCGAGGCTCTGCTTGTTTTTCGTGCCCCCGGAGCTGGGCCTTGAGCGAGACCCGGGGCTGCCTGCGGGGGACGCCCTGGCCGCGCCCCCAGAAGCAGGACCCCGGCCCGGGGCGCGGCTGTGCGGGGGCGCCCGGCCCAGAGCCCCGGCAGGGAGAGGCGCCGGGGAGGCTCCGCGCTGCGTGTTTTGGTTTCATTTACGGACTTACGCGCGGGAACGGGAGTGATGCCCGCGGCGTGTTAACGGCGCGCACGTGCCTGTCAGGCGAGTAACCCGGCCGGGCCGTGAGTCCCGAGCACCTTCTCCGCTCGCTGATTTGGCGGTGAGCACGTGCTGACACCCCTGCACTTCAGGGCTTCTCTGCCAGGAGTGCCCGTGTCCCGGAGCGGGGCGTGGGGGGCAGCTGGGCCACAGGAGCCCCGACTGGCAGAGGTCGCCTCCTGGCTCCCAGGCCTCCCACCTGGCGGCGGCCCAGACCCCCAGGACGAAGGGCAGAGTCTAGTTTGTGACTGTAAAGTCCTTTTGCCTGGAAAACGAAATGCTGAAAACCGATTTTAGAATCTTTGTGCAAATGGCCAAAGCCGGTGGCGTGGCCGGGGCAGGGGGTGAATAGAGCTTTCAACACAAACCCTCTCCCTGCGTGTGTCCGTCAGCTGGAAGGCAGGTGCTCCTGGTGCAGGCCTGTCCACCACCCCGACTGCAGCGGGTTGCGATGGGGGAAGCTGCAGCGGGAAGGGCCACAACTTTGAGCTGGAATGGGAGGCGGGGGCCAGGCGAGCCAGCACCTGCCCCAGGAGAGGCCCAGCTTCCCTTGCACCTCCCTGTGCTCAACTCTAGAACTGCTGGGAAAATCAGTCCATTTGGGGGGATTGTCCTAGGTCAGGAGACACGAAGCCCCTTAGGCTTCGCAGACTGGGAGGGTCAGGCATTGTCCCAGCTACTCAGCCTCAGGAAAAGTGCGTGGAGACCCTGGCCCCACTGGCAGATTAGCAGAGAACAAGGACAGCCTCACCCGACTTTTTCGGAGAAGCATTTCATGCAACCAGAGCGACCCCCGTTCTTTAGCGCCAGGGCTGGCAGAAGGGCGCAGCCCTGTGAGCGTGCCTGAGCCCGGGCCACTGCACCCACAGGGAGAATGAGCTGCTCAGCCCTCTCCACCCAGCCAGGAGCCGTCCAAGCCACCTCATGCGGCCTTGCTTCCTCCTAGGTGTTGCTGCTCACACCATAACGTGTTGCCAAAAGCGCTTGGAGGTGCATGAGCACAGCACGCTCGCCTGAGGACACCAGGGCCAAGCAGCCAGAGAGCAGGGGCACGTGTTCCCACAAGCACTGACGCCCAGGCCGAGACAGCGGGAGATCATGGGGCAGGGGCTCCGCTGCTGCCTGCCCCCTGTCCCACTTGCTGGGCTGCCTGCGTCCGGTCTCCTGCGCCCGCGTTAGAGTCTGTCCAGTCTGCTGAGGGCTCCAGGATTCGCTCCCATTTGCCTGAATCAACAATGAGCCTAGTTTGCCCCACAGCAACCAAATCCTCAGATGCCTGAGAGGCCAAGATACTGGAGGCCGGACAGAAAGATGGGGTGGGGAGTACAGGGCAGGGAGGTGGTTTGTTCCTGAGTCCTGACACTGCGTGCCCCGGAAACGCGCCTGCTTCCTGCCCCCCTCCCCCCCTTGCTGAGCCCTAAGCACATGGAGCTGCAGAATCTGATGGGGATGCCCAGGCCTGGACCCCTTCAGCCCTGGCGTCTGATGTCTGCCTCTGGGCTCCCCACCTCCAACTGTGCCAGACACGCCCCACAGCTCCAGAGCTGGGTGTGCGCGCCTCCCCCCAACCGCGGGGAAGCTGGAAGCTGGAGGCCTTGAGCAAGCTGGCCTGGGGAGAGTTTGCTAATGGCCAATCCTGGTCAGACCTCACCCTGCCTTCGGGCCGGGCAAGCCGGGACACCTGCCCTGGTGGCCGTCTGGGCCAGGACCCCGTGACACCAGGCCTGTTCCTGAGAAACAAACTCACTTCCTCCACTCACTCAGCCTCCTCCCTCTGCAAATATTTGTCTGAGCCCTTATCAAGTTTCGCTCCCAGGCTTCTGTGCAGTGAGAGTGGGGAGGAGCCTGGGCATGTTCACCCACAGTCACTCCAGGCCTCAGTTTCCCCTTCTGCAAATCATGGCAGTACCTCCAGATGGTAGGTTCCCCCACCCCAGTCTCACCTCTCTCTCCTGCCCCCTGCCAGGGCCACTCCCAGACGTCCTTTGGGCAGATGATGGCAGAAGCCTGGCCCTGTGTGGCCAGAGGCTCCTGACCCTGCTTCCAGCCTCCCCCTTCTCACCCGCCAGCCGCCAAGCAGGCCTCAGAAGAGCCAACCCCACTGTGAATGTCCAGCTGAAAGGCCCACCTGTCCAGCGGGGCCCGCTGGAGGCGTGCGCCACCTCTAGGAAAGTGGCCGCGCTGGGGGCAGGGAGCAGGGGGTGCTTGTGCTCCCTCCAAGCCCACCTCGCTCTGCAAACTCCGCTTCCTCCGCCAGGGCGGCTGATGGCCCCGTTCTCCTTGCCCCTGGGCCCTCCTCTGTTCCATTCGCGTCTCCCTCACCGCGCCCCTCTGAGGTCATCCGGAGACTCCCACCGGGCACCCTGACCCAGAGCAGGGGCCCAGCTGCCCCACACCGAGTCGATGCCCGGACCCAGGCTGGCTGGGCCCAGCAACCCAGCATCTTCTCCAGCCCAGACGCAGAGGAGAGCATGAGCCAGTCCCCCACAGACTGTACCCAGCCGCCCCACTGCTCTGGCCCCCGGCCCCCCGACCCGCCTGGACCCACGGGAGACACGTCCTGCCCGCCCGTGTCCCCGGTGACATCCAAAGACTGCAAACTTGACCTAGACCCCTGCCTTGAGGCCAGAGCTGCCTTCACCTTGCCCAACCCTGGTGACCGTGTGGGTTCGGGGAGTGACTCTGAGGGGTGATACCTCAGGGTGGGGGCGCATAATTCCAGCATCTATTCAAGCACTGCCTCCCCCCACCGTGATACAGCCCCTCTGCTATCTATTCACACGGGGCAATAACCGGAGAGGACAGAGCCACTCACTCGTTATTCATTCAACAAACACAGCGCCCACTCGCCCCAGGAACGCCACTTGTCCCCCAGGGTGGGGACTCCGCTGCAATCCAGCGCTGACCTCTGCTAAAAACAAACAACAAAAAACCCAGACGGCCCCAGATGGAATCCCAAGCTCAGCCCAAAGAGGCTCAGGCAGATACAGCCCCCCCAGGAATGCGGTCCCTCCCCTTCAGGTTGGGCAGAACTTTCCAGTCAGCACAGCACCATGAGGTCATCCTTCCCATCCCCCAGGGGGAGGCGAGCCACCGGCCAAGCAGACCCCTGCCCCCACCCCCAGAGGCCTGCACCCCCTGGCCCCAGCCAAGCCCTCTGCTTGTGAAGGCCACCCCGGGGGCGCAAACCCTTCCCCCCTCTGCCTGGACTGCCCACCGGGCGTGCAGTCTCAAGGAGAGCTTGTCATGAAGCCCATCAGTGCTTTAAAGGTGCTTGTTGCAGTTGTCACCCAACACCCCAGGACTCCAGAGAAGCACAGGAAAGTGTGGGTGCTCTTCGGTGGGGGAGGTTTCCAGACCAGAGGTTGCAAGGAGCGGCTGGGCAGCACAGCGGGGGCGGGGCAGGGCGGGTGACCGTGGCTCCCCGGCCCACCCTCTGTGTCAATATGTGGCTGGGCCTTATTAAGGGCCCCAGCCGCGGCCCGACACTTCCTCGCCCGGCAGCATGACGGAGCTGGAGACCGCCATGGGCATGGTCATCGACGTCTTCGCCCGCTACTCCAGCGTGGAGGGCGACAAGCAGAGCCTGACCAGGGGCGAGCTGAAGGCGCTCATGGAGAAGGAGCTCCCCGGCTTCCTGCAGGTGAGCCCCAGCGGAGGGGGCGCGCGGTGAGGGCACCCCAGGCCCAGGGGCAAGGCCAGCCGAGCCCTCCAGAGGGGAGGCTGGGAGCCGCTGAGCAGGAGGGGTGTGGCCAAGGGGCCCTTCAACCCGGAGCTGCAGCCCCAATTTACTTGAGAGCAGGAGAGGGGTCCAATCCGAGCGGTGGGGGGACCCACGGGGGGGCCATGTCCCAGGCCTGGTTTGCTGGGCCCTCAGGCTGTCCCTCAAGGCTGCGTGCCCACCTTCATGCCCCGCCCCAGAGGGAAAGAAGGTGGGGAGCCCGCGGGGCCTCTCCGCAGAGGCTGCCTCTCCACCAGCCTTCCCTGCTCTTCCCTCCCCCGGGACCTCCCTGCTCCCTCCTCTCGCTCTTCACCCCCTTCCTGCCCCCCAAGCTCCACCCACCTGCCCTGGAAGGGACTAGCTGATACTGAACCTGAAATCTTCAGCCTGAAGTGATACTTGGAGGACGCTGAGCCCCTTGGAATATTGTGTTTTTCTTTTTATAGATGAAGATAAATATTATTTTATTTTAATTCTTTTTTTTAAAAAAGATTTATTTATTTATTTATTTATTTATACAAGCACTGGTACAGTCAGAAGCGCGGGAGGGTGAGAGAATTCACCAGAGCCAGAGGGGAGAGCAGAGCAGGCAGACTGATGAAGTACACTGCTGAGGGGAGCAGCAGGCGGCAGGAGAGGGCCATGGGGGACCCTCACCCGCTGGCTGGGCATCGAACCGGCGCTGCAGAGGCTGCAGGCAGCTTCACAACCCAGCGCTCAACCGCTGCGCCACCGGGGGAGGCCCAAGATAGATATTATTTTAAAACAAGGTCCGTTTTTCTCTACTGTAAATATGTTTGTGGTAGAAAATGTACTATTTCCTTTCTTTTCTTTAATTTATGTATGCGTACAAGAGCTGGGGTACAGGCCAGAGGTGTGGGGGTGCGAGGACTCACCAGAGACAGAGTAGGGAGCAGAACAGGCAGACAGACTGAAACACACTGCTGAGGGGAGCAGCGGGGAGACAGGAGAGGTCTGCTGCGCCCTGTGGGTAGCTCCCTGGCCGGGGATGGAACTTGTGCTGCAGAGGCTGCGGACAGCTTCATAGTGCTGAGCCTTTGACCCCTGAGCCACCAGGGAGGCCCGCAGTCACCCTTTTAAAGCACACCCTCTGATCCGAAGACAGTCCCCCCCAACATGCTCCTTCAGCAGCGCACCCGCAGCTCAAACGTGGCCCCGAGACAATAATAGGTTAGTTGGCATCGTGGGGCAGCTGAGGCCGTGGGTCTCACGGAGCTGCCTGGGTCTCGCGCGCTCAGCTGGGCCTGGCCAGGAGCCCACACGCCGCAGAAGCCGCGCAAGCTGGCGGGAATTCCCTCTACACGCGGCGGTGCCAGGCTGAGGCGGGGTCCCGCAAGGCGCCCCATGGCTGATCCTGGCCTCTGTCTCCTCAGAGCGGGAGGGACAAGGACGCCGTGGACAAGCTGCTCAAGGACCTGGATGCCAACGGAGATGCCAGCGTGGACTTCAGCGAGTTCATGGTGTTCGTGGCCGCGCTCACGGCAGCCTGCCACAACTACTTCGCGCAGTCAGGACTCAGCTGACGCCCGCAGGCCCGGACCCCGAGGGAGCAGAGCCTTCCCCGGCTTCCCGAAAGCCCTCTTTGGGGCTATTTCCTTGGGCTGAACAGTTGCCCTCTGGTTGAATAAAATGCTTGTGAAATGATCCTAGTCTCAGGGAAATGTGACTTCCTTAAAACCTCAGCAGCCGCCCTTCCCAATAATCACTAACTAGTCACTTACCTGACGACTGCCTGAAGCCTGGGCCCAGCACCGCGCTCCTCCGCTCACCGCCCTCTCTCCCGCGCCTCATTACGCACCACGCTCTGACTCAGGTGCCCTGTGCTCTGCCCACATCTCTGGTTTCTAGGCTCATCCTGGGGCATCCAGCTGGCACCCCCCTCTCCCTCCTTGGTCCCAGAGCCCCAATTTTGTTCAGGCATGAGGCAGAAATGTATGCAGGGAGCGTAGGCTCCTCATCCAGTCCTTGCTCCTTCTGCCATGTGGACTTTGAGGAGATCTCCTGGTGGCCGCCAGGCACAAGGCCAGCCCTCGGGGTACTGGAGGGCCCTTCCTGGAGACCAAAGAGCAACGTCTGCAGGAAAGCTGTCCCGGGACCCTACAGGGGTGCACGCATCTGACGTGAGTGGCGCCCCCAGAGCGGAACAGCACACGCTGCAGGTGACCATAGCTGGGAAGGACCTTCCTCCCCGATTCAGACACATCACGTCATCATGGACACCACCCGCTTCTTTCAGGGCTCAGGCAGCGTTGAGCGAGGATGTGATGCTTGGAGCAGCAGCAGCCATTGTGCGAGCATGAGGACAAAGGGCAGAGGATCCCAGAGCTCCGGCTCATGGAACAGCTGACAGCGCTGCCCACCGCCCAGCCCCAGGGGCGCTACTTACACCATCGCCCATGTGGGTGATGCTGGGAGGCCCTGGTTGCTGAGCTGAGTCAGGCCCACCCGCCACTGGAATGATGGCCACACAAAGTCCTATCCTTAAGCCCCGTTAGTCAGCAACTGCCTGCCCCGTCACCGTGGCGTGGACGCTTCCTCACTCCGGCCCTCCCGTCAGGTCCCCTTCTCACGGCTGCGAAGTTCATCTCCCGCGCAGGCCGGGCGGCCGGGGACACACCGATACCCTCGCAACCAGCGTGCTATGGCGGCACCGGGCTCCCCCAGCCTCACCCCCGCCGGGAAGAGGGGAGGTGCGGAGCTGGCGGACTCCCCCGTGGCTGGTCAGCTCAGGGGTGAGGCGCGGGCCGGGGAGGGGGCTGCAGCGAGTGCTGTGCTGGGGGCTCGGCAGGGCTTCTTTTGGTCCAGTTCTGCAGGGTGGATGCGCCCGGAACCGTCACCTGGGGTCTCGCCTCCTGCCCTCCCCAGGATTCTGGGGACTGGCAAAGGCCAAGCCTATGACCAAAACCGGGACCCGCAGCACGTCGTGAACGCTGCACGCGGGCCCTTCAGGCGACGTAGGCGCCACAGCCGTAGTCACAGAAGTGCTGCTTGCACGCACGGCAGCACAGCAAAAGTCCCTGATTTCATGAATAACCTTGACCAGAAGAGGCAGACACCGGACTGGACAAGAACCTCCTGACGGAGAAATTCAGAATCACGCGTGGGTTACGGACCGGAGCTGCCGCCGCGGCCGGGTATGAGCGCGCAGTGAAGGTGGAGGCGGCAGCTTTGTTCCGGGAAATGACGTGAGACTTTGTAAGAGGCCCTTGGCTTTCCTTTATTAGTCCTTTCTTACTCTTAAAATCTGAAAACTTGGGAGAAAAGTGAAGAGTATAAAGGACATTTTTTTAATTTATTTTTTTTTAATTTTAAGATTTTATTTATTTATGCACACAAGAGCTGGGGTACAGGCCAGAAGTGTTGAGGGAGGGTGAGAGGACTCACCAGAGACAGAGCGGGGAGCAGAACAGGCAGATCCACTGAAACACACTGCTGAGGGGAGCAGCGGGGAGCCAGGAGAGGTCTGCTGCACTATATGAGCAGCTCCCTGGCCGGGGATCGAACTCGCGCTGCAGAGGCTGCGGACGGCTTCATAGGTTGTGTCTTAACCCCTTACGCCACCAGGGAGGCCCTTAAGTTTATTTTTAACGTTTTTTGACAGGACAGGCGCTCCCATCATGAGTGTCACTGTAGCGCCCCCACCAAAGCCCCCACAGGCCATGGTGCTCTCCCCACTCACCCCTCTCCTCCACCAGCACCTGATTGTTCTGCATGACCCCCAGGAGGCTAGTGTGGACATCTCCCCACATTCCCGTCCCCGGCCATGCAGAGAACCCTCCATCTCCAGACCCTTGCACTCCCGCCCCTGTTCTAACAACATCTTTTAGGAAGCAGAGGATTGCTTGTGTAGCAAAATGAATAAAAAGCAGCAGCGCTGCCTCCAGCTGCCACAGCTCTTTGGTCTTCAGTTAGGAACAGTCCCGGGTCTTTCCGACTTGGGCGACGGCATTTCTGGAGACCCCAGGCTGTCATTCTGTAGAACTCGCTGCACCTCTAGCCTGGCCAGTGTTTCCCCAGGGCTAGGGGCGCGGGCCGTGTCTTGGCAACAACATCACAGAAGCCACGCAATGTTCTGTCCCCTCGGCTGGCGCGAGGTTTCATCTTGTCCCATTACTGACCAGGGCCCTTTGATCACTTGATGAAGAGGCTGTGCCCGGGCCAGCCCCGGGGAGGGCAAGCATGAGGAGTCCCGGATATGGCGCTGGGAGGGCAAGAACATGTTCACGGAACAGCCAGGACGAGTCGAGGGACACACGGCCAGTGTGCACGGGCTCCCGCCCGCCAGGTCACTGAGACGCTGCGCTCTTTACACCCTGGGCACTGCCACGTGTTTTCACTTGCAGACTTTAAATATTCTGCTCCTCATCACAGATTTTATTCATCTACTCAGAGCCATGTGAATTCAGTTCCCCACGGCGCTCGGTGAACTGGGACCGTCACCACCGCTGTGTTCCGATGTGACCGCGGCCCCACTGGCCAGGGGAGCCCACGGAGCCGGCCTCTGGTGCCACGGACGTGGGCCGGGCCTGGGAACAACTCAGCAAGCTCTGTGTCTTGAGCTTTCCTTGCCCCGGAAGGGACAGTTTCTCCACGCAGCTCCAGTTCCTTTCAGTGGAAATGGTCATGTAGAAGCCAAGTCTGGAGCGCGGTGCCGCGCTGCCGGGGGTGCGGCCGCCGGCTACCCCAGGGGACACAACTAGAGACTGTCTCCAGCGCGCACACAGCCACGGCTGCGGGACGGTGACACGGGAGACACCACACGCCTCACACCCCCTCCCATGCCGTCAACACCGGAGACTCTCCTGTTCCCCCTTTTGGGGTTTCCGCTGGAACCCCTCCCCTGCAGGGCCACCTTTCCCCTGGGCTCTGCGCCCCAGGCCGGGGTGCCCTCGGGGCCCCCCGCGGACGTCCTCAGGCCACTCGGCCGACGGCTCTCCTCACGCCCTGGCTCGGCCCGCCCCGGGGCCCCCCACTCGGCCCGGCTTGTCTCTGATTTCCGGCGGGGGCGGAGAGGGCGGGTAAACACCCAGCGGCGCTAACATCCGCCGGCCTAGCCCGCTCCGGCGACCTCCCGGGCCGGCCTCGCTCTCACGCCGGTTCGGACGCAACGAGCTCCGGGCTCACGGCGAGCGCCACCGTCCTCGGGGGACCCGCGCCCCCCGCCCCAGCATCTCGGCCGCCGAGGAGCTCCGGCGCCGTCTCCCGGCCCGGTCGCCGCGCGGGTGGCTGGGCGCGCCCCTCCGCCGAGGCGGCCACCGCGCCCGGGCCTGGCCAGCGCGTCGTCCGCCCCACAGCTTGCTGCGGCCGCGCTCGCGCGTCCCGCGGAAGACGGGCAGCAGGAGCTGCTCGACGACCTCCCGCCCCCGCTGCCCCCGGGAGGCCGCGCCCGCCCCCTGCCCGCCTCAGGCGCCGGAGCCGCCCGCGGGGACGCGCCCGCCCGCGAGGCCGGAGCCAGCGGGCAGCGCGCGCGCGGGAGGCGCCACCGCCTCCTTTACGACGCCGCGGGGCCCTTTACGACGGGGCGGGCTCCTTTACGACACCGCGGGGTCCTTTACGACGGGGCGGGCTCCTTTACGACACCGCGGGGCCCTTTGCGACCCCACCGGGCGCCTCTACGGTGGTGCTGTGGACGGGCTCCGGGCTCTCGTCGCCGGTGAGGGCCGGTGGCCCGGCCGCGTGCCTGCCGCAGCAGCGGCTCCTGGAGACGGTGTGCGTGAGGGTTTTGCAGCCCCCGGCAGCCGGAGCGGAGCGGCCGTCGCGGCGGTGCCCTGCGGGGCGGGCCGGGGCAAGCCTGGCGTTTGTCCCATTGTTGTAGAGCAACCCCGATACAAAACGGGGTGCCTGACTGTGGGTCCTCACCCGCGCGCTTAAAAGGACTTATCAATGCTCTACTGCAGGCACACGTGAAAGGTTAATAAAAGGTTTATTTACAAGGGAAAGGGAAATGAGGAAATGTACAGCTCTGGGAGAAAAGTGGGAGACAAAGTTTTAAATGCGTCCTACCCGATCCGCCGATCAGGAATCCCAAAATGGCGCTCTCAGTTGGCCGCCAGCCAGGAGCGGTGAAGCCAGGAGGCGAGCGATCACCAGCCAGAGAGCGAGCAAGGCCCACGTGTTTGGTTTTTATATCCAACCTGGCTGCCCAACTCCACCCTCAGGTCCCAGCCACCCTCCCCTTGGTGGTGATGGGATTTGTCTTTCCCAATGTCCTGATGGCTTTAGTCTGGAGTGGGGGTGGAGTCCACAAAGCCTGTATGAGATTATCTCAGGACATCCTTTCCCCCTAACAATTCCCCCCTTTCACTTTTTGCCACCATTTCCATGGTGATGAAGATCAAACATATGGATTTTGGGATACAGTCTCAGATGAAAATTTTCCAGGGTTCCAGTCTGAAAGAAAACGAATCCCTCCAGGTAGTGTCCATTGTGGAAAGCACTCTTTAGGGTGCATCATGTAACTATACCAGGTTTTCATACCTGTGTTGTTGTTGTCCCTCCCTAGTGTGGGGGAGGTGTAATCTGTGCTTACATGTTTAATCTGCTCTTTCAGCTTCTGTCCCAGAGTGGCTAACAGAAGTAAGGACATGACTCCTTTTAATTGAAAGTTAATTACTGATATTTTGATTTTGCTTTTTCAGGTTCTATTCCAGGAAACCCAAGGGAGGGTGGAGCTGAGCAGCAAGAGGAGAAGCTGCAGAAGAGACTGAGGAAGGAAGCAGGATGGAGCCAGGAGACCTGGAAGAGGCGCATGGAGCCTAGAGACACGTGAAAAAACTGCGCTTGTCTTTTGGTCGTGGACTGGGTGACACAGATGTGGGTGAGACCCGTGGGGAGGTGACCATGGCAGCTTTTATCTTGATGTTGATTTTGCTCTTTTCCTTCCGGGCTTGTCTGGTTGTTTGTGACCCTTTTCTGTGGGTCCCCACTGGAAGATGTTTTAGACTTGTGGCAGGCTTTGGGGCCTTGCTCTGGGCCGACCCCATATGGATGGAGTTTTACCCACGAGGGGATGGGTAACTTTGGGTGCTTCATTTAGAAACTAGACTCTTTGCCTTACCTGTATTGTTTCCTAGTTTTTATTAAAGATCCTTCCCATTAAAGTGTCATATGTTTTGTGTTGATGCGGCGGATGGCAGAACCCATGTAGAATAGGCAGGTTTGTGGGGGTCTGGGGTGCCCCTCTCCCTGTCCTATAACACCATCGCCGCGTAGGCCGCGGGAACCATTAGGGAAACACGACTGCTTTTCCCCGCCCGGCCCCCCCGCGGGCGCCCGCCTGGCTAAATGTCCCGTGAGGAGGTGTCGGCGAGGGTGGGGGACCTAGAAGAGGATGTAAGAAATGCAGGAGCACCCTGGGGTCCCCACATGCCCGCCGCCCAGACTTCACTTCCAGACGTCGAGGCGTGCACGCCCGCGCTCGGGCGCTGTTTCTGGCCCCCGATGAGAGCAGCTTCCAGCAGCTGACTGCCAAAGAGAAAAGCTGGAAAGTGTTGCAGGTAACCAGGCGGCTGATCCTGCCCCCTGCGTAGTTGCTCGCCTGGAAGGCGCCGAAGTCCGGGCCTGGCGTCTCTCGGGGCTGTCGGTTGCCTGGCCTGGGCCACAGGCTCCCAGAGAGCTGCGTATCTGATGGTTCGGCAGGGCCTGGTGCTGCTGCCGCTGTCGTGTACTCCAGCGTCTGGTGCTGCTCATCCGGACCCTCCGACTCCCTGCAGGCTGCTGCAGCTTTTCTTAGCCGCCCCCTCTGTGAGCTCCTGCAGCTCAGGTTGGAGCCTGGCCCCCCAGAGGCTCATGGAGCCTCTGGCTGCCACGAGCTCCAGGCAGTGCCATCTCGGAGGACTGGCCTTTCGTTTGGGACTTCTGAACCCTGTGGACTCTATCTAGGGTGAAATAACCGGCCACTTGTGGCCTTAGTAACTCTGTTTCCCCTGTGTGTTAAGTAACCCCCATTATTGGTGTTCCCTGAGACTGAGTGGTCTTTAGTTGTGCAGGCAGGTGACGAGCCCACAGACGGTGACCCGTCTGCTGCTGGGCACTGTGCTTGGATGGCAGTGGCAGCGTAACTGCCGTTTCAGTGTTATAATTGTCAGCAGACAGTACATGGGGAGGGTTGATGCCAAAGGGTTTGGAAACACACAAATCCAGAATTAGACCCAAGTTTTTCACTTTATTTGCTATGTGGTCCTGAACCGGTTAACGTGAGCACAGCTCTCTGGCCTCTTGTCTCCACATGTTGCTCCAGGGTGGGTGTTGGAGACATGATCCCAATGATCACATTATGATCCGTGTGGTCCATAATAACTATGTGGTGTGGTGTGCTCTGGGTTTTCACCTAACTCATAGGGTTGTTCTGAAAGTTAAATGAATTACCAGAGAGCTGCGTATCTGATGGTTCGGCAGGGCCTGGTGCTGCTGCCGCTGTCGTGTGCTCCAGCGTCTGGTGCTGCAAAACAGGCTAGAAGAATGGGGAGGTAATGAGTGTGAGCTCTGCTGTCTCCCCCCCACCCCCCCAGAAGAACATGAATCCTGACAAACTCCACCTGTGTCATCTCATTTCATTACTTTCTTCCTCAAATGTAACTACACTGGGAGCTAGGGCTTTAACATTTGACTTGGGGGGGGGCACATACATTTCATCCGTTACAAAGGAAATGTCAACTGGTACAACCACTTTGGAAACTATTTGGCAGGATCTACTAAGTATATACCAACCCTATGATCTAGTAAACTTGACATTTTGATTTACACTCAAAACTTTTTTTTTTTTTATTTTTTTTATTTATAGAGGCATGTTTTTTTTTTTTTTTTTTTTTTTTTATTTGTTTGTTTGTTTTGTTTATACATGCACTGGGTACAGTCAGAAGCGCGGGAGGGTGAGAGAATTCACCAGAGCCAGAGCGGGGAGCAGAGCAGGCAGAAGGACCAAAGGACACTGCTGAGGGGAGCAGTGGGCGGCAGGAGAGGTCTGCGCGCCATGTGGGACCCTCCTCTGGTGGCCGGGGAGCAGCTGGGGATCGAACCGGCGCCGCAGAGGTCGCCGGCAGCTTCGCAACCCAGCGCTCAACCGCTGCGCCACCGGGGAGGCCCCTACACTCAAAACTTTTAATGCATTTGTACACAAAAGGACATAGAGACAAATATTCAAGCTCCCAAATTAAAACAACTCAAACGTTCACCAGCAGAATTGTAGTCTAGTCATTTAAGAGTGTATATTTTATCTATTGCTGCATAATAAATTATCCCAAAATTGAGCAACTCAAAATAATATGTATTTATTACTTCGCATAGTTTCAAGATACCAGCTGGCAGTGCAGCGATCTCTGGACTGGGGCTGGAGGATCCATTTTCATGATGGCTTACTCACATGGTTGTTGGAAAAAGGCTGGTTTTCACTAGCTGTTGGTTAAAACCCTCCGTTCCTTTCTACGTGGACTTCACAAGAAAGCAGCTGGTTTTTCCCAAAGTACATGATTTGAGAGAAAGAAGACATGGCTCCTCTTACCATTTTATCTCTACGTCACATGCCATCACTTCTGCTGATTTTTATTAATTGTAAGCAAGTCAGTAGGTCTAGTATGTACTTTCTCAGAAGGAACACACAAGGAGGTGGAGATGATCTAGGATCATAAAACTGCTACTGCAGTCTGCTCTCTGGCCAGTAATGATTCATGTGCTTTATTTTTTTTTTTTAAAGATTTATTTATTTATGCATACAAAAACTGGGGTACAGGGCAGAGGTGTGGGAAGTGAGAGGAGTCACCAGAGACAGAGTGGGGAACAGAACAGTCAGATCTACTGAAATACACTATTAAGGGGAGCAGCGGGTGAGCCAAGAGAAATCCGCCATGTGGGTAGCTCCCTGGCCAGGGATCAAACTCATGCCACTGTGGCTGCAGATAGCCTCATAGGTTGCATCTTGTTGTGCCACCAGAGAGGCCCCTGATGTGCTTTGAACATGCAAATCACACTCATTCTCACCCAAGCTCCCTCGATTATATAGCATCAGCTCCAAGTCCAGAGTTTTGTCATCTAAATTAGGCTAGCTGTGGATAAGACTCCATGAGTATAGACTAGATTGAGTTGTTAGACTACAGTTCTTCTTGACCTGCAGACTTCGAAACTAAAGAGACAGGCTATCTGCCCCCACACATCCAATATGCAGTGGTGGCCAGACATGGGATAATCATTACAGATTATCCCTGTTCAAAACCAGTGGGAAGATGGTGGGAGGCACAAAGGAGTGATTGTCACAGTAAGTCTGCAACCCAGTCTCAAGTTCTGAGGATAGTTCTCCATGGCTCTCAGCTACACCATTGGCTTCACCCTTTGTGTCATGCTTTCTTTTTCTTGAAAGGGGGCACGTATTTGCTGATGAGTCACTTTATCAACATGCCTTGTGCTTGCAGAAGTTTGTGAGGTCCAAAGGTCTGTTTTGTACCATTGCTGCTCCTTCTAGTTCAAGTTGCAGTGTTCTGATGTAATTATCTTTAGAACTTTGTAGGCTTCTTGTCAATCCCATTGGAGTTTACTCCATTAGACAAAAACAGCACCTTCAAATCCCTTTGAGATAAGTTGGTCTCTGCTTATGAGTTAGGCTTTTGCTAATAAGGCCAAGGGACAAGCACTTACGCTTCCCTGAGACCCTGAGGCTGGGAGAAGCACAACCTTATTAATCTCATTAAAGAGCAGTTAGACTGACTGGTAATTTGAACCACTGCCTTTAATTTTTTCTCAGATATCCCATTTTTTGCTTCTACTTTCTAAGTGTTCTCCAAACAACACATAATAATCAAGCAACTAGAAAATGTGGGCAATTGTTTTTGTCAAGTATGACTTTTTCTCAGTTAACAGTAAATTCAACGACTACCTGGGGTGTGGGTTTCACAGTCACAACTCGGGTCTTCCTGTCCCTGCCTGGGATTTGAGCGTTGCTATGAAACCATTTTGTAATTTTATTTACCTAATAAATAAAATGTGTTAAATTTTATGACGTCAAAGTCATCGAGTGTCAGAGTTGAAGAGTTTCCTTTTTTTAAATTTTGTTTATGCATACAAGAACTGGGGTGTAAGCCAGAGGTGGGGGGGGTGAGAGGACTCACCAGAGGCACAGGGGGTGGGGGGCAGGAGACAGGGGAGGTCTGCTGCGCCATGTGGGCAGCTCCCTGGCTGATAGCCACGTGGTGCAGAGACTTCAGCCCCTTGCACCACCAGGGAGGCCCAAGCAGCGTTTCCTCTCGCGTGTCTCACTTCGCCAGCTGCGTGGCTGCGGCCCGGGGGCCCTTCCTGGGCTTGTTCTGCACCTTAATCTGGAGGGAGGTTAAGGGTTGCGTGGCTGCGTAGGAACAAAACAGTCGGACGGCTGCACTTCGGGGGGGTGCGATTTACCCTATACCAGTTACGTTGTCATTTGAAAACAGAAATGGGGCTCTAGGCGCGAGCGCGGGCGCACGCGGCGGGGGGCGCCGCCGCGGGGAGGGCGGCCGGGGCGCGGGAGCGCGCGGGGGCTGGGCTCCCAGGCGGACGCCGGAAGTGGGGCGGGAGCGCGCCGGGCGAGGCCGGAAGCCGGGCGTGCGCGTGCGCGGAAGCCGGCGGTGCGTGTGCGCGTGCGCCAGCGCGCGGGGGCCGGAAGTGGGCCAGCGCGCGGCCGCCGCGGGCCATGGAGGGTCCCCCCGCGGAGGAGGCCGAGCCCCGGGGCGCCGCCTGGAGCGGGGACAGCGGCCACGTGTCCCAGAGCCACAGCAGCGCCTCGGGGCCGTGGGAGGACGAGGGCCCGGAGCCCGGCGCGCCGGGCCGCGACCTGCCGCTGCTGCGCCGCGCCGCCACGGGCTACGCCGCCTGCCTGCTGCCCGGCGCCGGCGCGCGGCCCGAGGTGGAGGCCCTGGACGCCAGCCTGGAGGACCTGCTCGCCAGGGTGGACGAGTTCGTGGGCATGCTGGACATGCTGCGCGGCGACTCCTCGCACGTGGTCAGCGAGGGCGTGCCGCGCATCCACGCCAAGGCCGCCGAGATGCGGCACGTCTACGGCAAGATCGACAGACTCGAGGCCTTCGTCCGCATGGTGGGGGGCCGCGTGGCCAGGATGGAGGAGCAGGTCGCCAGGGCCGAGGCCGAGCTCGGGGCGTTCCCCAGTACGTTCCGGAAGCTGCTGCACTCGGTGACCGGGCCCTCCTTCTTCGGCAGGGCGCCCTCGGGCAGGCCCCCGCCCGCCGGCTTCGAGCCCCCCGTTCTGTTCCGCACCGAGGACCACTTTCCCTGCTGCAGCGAGAGGCCCCAGATCTGAGCGCAGGACGAGCGCGCGGGGACACGGCCGAGTCCTCACCTCGAGTGTAACTCGGCCCCTTGAAACTCCTGTCGCTAGACATGGGTGACGTCCAAGTTTGGAATTTCTCCTTGTGCACACTCTGGTTCTCAGTCTCCGTTAGTTGGTGTCTGATTCGGTGTCTTCCAGGTCTAAGCTGAGAGCTGCTAGGTAGGGGTTCAGGGTCGCGACGTGAATGGCGCCCTCCGTACACTGGGACTGTTATTTTCATGGATTTCACGGCTCGGCCAACAGTATTGCCTTTTCCAGATTTATATATTTATATTGAAAAAATGAGCCATTAAAGCCTTGTTGTTCAATCCTATTAGAGATTCAATTTTCTATAACTTTTAGGGTAGATGGTAAATTATTTAACGTTATATTGAACTTTCCACATCACGGATTGTAAACTGAAAAAAATTATACAGTTTCCGGGAAAATATATTGATTTGTTGTAACAAATTCCAAAGTCCCATTTGAAAGTATGACCTCACAATCTTTTTAATGTGTTCCAAGCAAACATGGCTATATTTGGTTGCCAATGTTTGGCTTAGAATTTAAGTGTTAATAAAGTTTTTTAATTCTGTTGGAAAAGCTTTCTTTCTAAAAAGAGCTTCACATATTTCCTTTTTGTTTGTTTAAAAACAGACCTGTTGCTCATAGAATTTTAGGAGTGGGATAAGAAAAGTGACTTGGGAGTGTCTCCTAATGCGAAGAACTGATCTTGGCTCCAGTTTCACTGTTCCTTAATTTTCCCACTCATTTGTGGGAATCAGCGGTATGGGGGTTTTGTTCTTCCACCTCACAACGTGGAGTGCGTGAAGATCTCTGGAGATACAATAGGCTCTGTTCTTGCTTTTCATCTGCTTTATAAGGTGGCCCTTATAGAGAGTAGACCTCAAATAGGGACGCAGCTTGGCCTGCTTTTGTGTCATTACAGGTCTTTGGGGTTGACGCAGTCCGCACGGTGTCCTTGACCTTGTAAAGATACCAAGTGTATTACATTCTACAAAGCCCACACTCTATTCCCAACCTGAGCTCTCCGGGTTTTCTGTGCAACCTTTACATTTTTCTAGTAATTTATTGATTACAAGCTAAGGAACTCCTGACACTGCAAAAAAAAGCTGAAAAAACATGTGATTAATCTTAAGAACTTGGCAGCTCCTGGGTACTGCTGTAACTAGTCTTCATGGGGCATAGTCACTGGGTCTGATTAGCTTCCTTATGCAGCTTCTAGATTGCCAAAAAACTCGGAGCTGATATTAAAAAAAAAATTAGGACAAATGAAAAGTTACAATAATTTTAAAGCTGAAATTTAATATCTATATACTATAAAGAAAAGCTTTAATAATTAAAAATGTGTAATAGATATCTATTTTCACTACCTACAAAAGTAAATTGGGTTGAGAAAATTAAAAGCTTAAAAACCAGTAAAAATGAAATTCAGCTTAGTCGCTTTTAAAGCAAATCATCGCTTTCTGACACCACAGTTTCAAGTGCCGGTTTAGGTAGTTTACGGGCCACACGTGCCCTCATCTGGAAGGATCCTTGGGGTCTGAAGTTCTCTCCATCAGTGTTTTGAGGTTTCTAAGTAGAGGTTTGTGTGGCGCTTTTCTTGTTCAGATGGGGACTTGAACTGGCTTGCTGAGCACAAGGCAGACTAGTGAAGGGGATTTGTTTGTCTCCAAAGGGGGGCACCTTGTTCTGTCACTGTCACCCTTGCATCTGACTTGCCTACCCCTGGCCAACTGGAGAGCTAAGAAGGCCCTTCTGGATAGTAGAAAATTCATCCTTCCTCTTCTTGCTTAGTGAATAACAAGTTGGGAGGGGGCCTCCACCCCTGATTCTGTAGGGGGAGTCCCAGTGTCATCCTGGGTGATCCCTACAGACCATCTGCTGCTGTGGTCTGGAGCTCCCCCGCTTCTAGAATAAACAGTTGGAGTTGGTGTTTAGTAAAGCTTGGGAGGAGCACCCCCAGCCCCACCAAAGTCAATTGGTTTCGATGCGGGTCCAAGAGCATACCCACCAGTTTTCTGGGGTCCATAGGACTCAACTGCGCAGCCTCAGCAGCTGAGTTGGTTTCTGCACAGTGTAAAATCGGGTACTAGTGAGCTGTAAGCACCTAGTGCTAGCCCCCACGCCCTCAAGCCAGAACTTCCAGGAATGAGTCTTGGACCATGTAAAAGGAGGTGGGTCCATCGTAGGTATAACCTGAAGGCACCCCTCTGTCCACCCCCACCTGCAAAGCCTCACCTGGGCCACAACGATCTTTAAGTGGCTTCCTGCTTCCCTGTCCCTCTCTAAGCCACCCCTAGGTTGCATACAGCAGCCAAATGGGCTTTAAAAATTATGTAATTTTTTTTTTTTAAAGACTTATTTATTTATTTATTTATACCAGCACTGGGTACAGTCAGAAGCGCGGGAGAGTGAGAGAATTCACCAGAGCCAGAGCAGGGAGCAGAGCAGGCAAAGGACCGAAGTACACTGCTGAGGGGAGCAGCGGGCGGCAGGAGAGGTCTGCGCGCCATGCGGGACCCTCCTCCGGTGGCCAGGGAGCAGCCCGGGATCGAACCGGCGCTGCAGAGGCTGTGGGCAGCTTAGCAACCCAGCGCTCAACCGCTGCGCCACCGGGGAGGCCCTATGTAAATCTTTATGAATCAAATGTATTAGACTTTGTCTAAAACCATCACGAGTCTCTTACTACATTCGAATAAAATCTGGGGCCTCCCTGGTGGCACAGGGGTTAAAGTCTCAGCGCTACCACCAGCCACTGGGGCATGAGTTCCATCCCCAGCGAGGGAGCTGACATGGGGCTGCAGACCCCTCCTGTTGCACCTGCTGCTCCCTTCAGCGGTACTTTCGGTCCGTCCACCTGTTCTGCTCCCTGCTCTGTCTCTGGTGAATCCTCTCACCCCCTGCCCCGCACCTCTGGCTTACACCCCAGCTCTTGTATGCATAAATAAATAAAAATAAATCTTTAAAAGAAAAATAGAGGATAAAAGTCCCAAATTCTATTATACAGGATCAGTTTCCCATCCCCCACCGGCACTGACCTTGTCCTGAACAGCTCTCCTGGCCTCACCTGGGTCCAGGGGCTGCCAGGGCACTAGTGCCTGCTTCCCTCCCTGCCTGTGATAACATCTGAGCGGCCCCGTCCGGCAGGGGCTCTGGGTCCCGCTCCACCCGGCTGCCTTCCCATGGGAAACACTGAGCGGTTATTAAACATTTGCAGGGAAGCCGAGCAGCAGGGAGGGCTGAGGACACAAAGGAAAAGGGGGGTGCAGTTTTCCCAGGAGCTCTTGACAGGGGAGACCTGAGGTCAGGGGCCAGCTTAGGCCAACCAAGGTTGAGGGTCTGAGCTTGAGACACCAGGTACCAGCATTCTGAGGGATTCCCAGTGTGCCCGCACCTACCAGGCCCTGGGGGTGCTGATAGCTTGTAGATTCTCTAAGAGAAAGGCTGAAAGGTTGAAAAAATATTTTCTTAAAGCCCATTTTCCAAAGTGACCTAAATCAGTCGTCCCAGAAGTTGAGAAAGGAAAACACTGCTGAGGGGAGACAGGCGAGGTCTGCCACGCCATGTGGGCATCTCCCTGGCCGGTCGGGGATGGAACCCGCGCTGCAGAGGCTGTGGACAGCTTCACGGCACTGCGCTCAACCCGCTGCGCCCCCGGGGGGCCCTAGAGTGAGATATTCTTTATGATGTTTGTCCTCAAAGAGGGGCTCCCCAAGGCCACGTGAGACGCAGGGTGTGCAGGTGGGAACCCAGGTCCCCGGGTTCTCCCAGGAGCCAGGCTGCAGAACAGCCCCTGTTCCGGCCGGGGGCTCCTGGGAGCAGGCAAGGCCACCCGAGGAGTCCAACCCGGCCTCGGGAGCCAGGGACCCGCACCCTGCAGCTGCTGGCCCTGGGTCTGGAGCCTGGGGGCCTCTGCCAACCCCAAGGCGCAGCGGGCTGCTCTCCATGCGTGGGCGGGGAGGGCAGGATGGCACCCCCGTACCCCAGAGATCTCTAGGCTCATCCCTAATGGGAGCCACCAGGATGACAGAACAAACCGAGGAAAATATGCGTCCATCCCGCCCTGTGCCGGACGCTGCCAAAGTCCCGGAATTTCCCCGCCTGTCCCAGGAGGGCCAGGGCCAGAACCCTGCCCTCGACTTCCCCTCTCTGATCACCAGGGGGCACTGTCGGCCCATTGTTGGCCCAGGTCCTGGATGGGGGTGGGGGTTGGCGCTTGGGAAATCGCTACAGTCCTCTGGGCCTCAGCTGCTCCTGGGGAGGCTGTGACCCGGAGCCCCAGCTGCTGCCGGCCAAGGTCTCTTGCGCCTGCTGGGACACATCTCCACCAAGGGGGAGTCTCTGTCCCTCTCCTTGGAGCTGTCTGCCATGGTTGAGGCCTCAGGGGACCCCAAACTCCTAAACCACAGAATCTGCTTCAGGCCGTGAAACTTCAGGGCAAAATCTGTGGCCAGAGTGACGGGCCCACCTGGCCTGCTCGAGCGGGGAGCAGCTCAGCTGTGGGAAGCCCAGTTGCCGCCCCCCCCAACCCCCCGCTCCGCCATGTCCAACCCTGGGCAGGGCCCACAGGGGCTGGAGGCCCAGAAAGGGACCCTCGCCAGCCTGGGGGCCCCCAGGTCCGGCGTGCGCCTGAGGCGCCGCGGCACGAGCCGGCCTTGCGCTGGGAGAGCTGTAGCAGCCAGGTCCACAGTCGGCCAGGCGGGCCGGGCCGGGTCAGGCCGGGTCCTGCAACCTCGGGTGAGGACCAGGCCTTGGAATCTGTCCCTCGGAAGGTCTAGAGGAGAAAGGCGGGGCCGGGCTGGCTCAAGAGACCCCCTGGGGACCACGCGGGGCTGTTGGGTGAGGGGTTAAGAGCGGGGGCAGGACAGCAGGAGGGGGTTGTAGCCCGTAAGCACTGAGCCCTCTTCCCCAAGCAGGCGGGTCTGCGTGGTGCAGGCCCAGCCTCCCCCTCCCTTTGGTCCCTTCCCCTCCATCCCCTCTCCCCCCCGACCCCCCTCCACCCAGGGCTTCTGCCTTCCCTGCCCCCCAGCTTTGCAGGGACCGAGCCAGTTCTGGGAGCCCCTGAACCCACGCAGAAAATGCCCCAACCTGAAGGCACCCCACACTGACAGCGAGTCCTTTGGGGCCTGGTCCCCAGCAGCTCCGGAACAAGCCCACCCTGGGGGCACTGGTCTCTAGCACGGGACAGCTGTGCCCACGTCAGCACCCCCCTCCTATCCCCCCGCCCTGGCCTCTCAGCCCCGCTGGGCCCCAGTGCTGGGGGGAGCGCTCATGCTGTGCGTCTGGAAGCTGAGGGGGGTCACGCGACAGCCGGCAGGCAGTGGGGCCCACACATAGAAACCCCATGTAGGGCTCTCCCAGGGCCGGGCCCCAGCTGGTTGTGTGGTGAGGGGGGGTGCTCGGTGGTGTGGCCCCAGCAGGGAAAACCCCACCCCTCCCCCAGGCTCCTGGAGCCTCAGGCACTTGGGGTATTTGAGGGCCAGGGAGGGACCAGGGCCCCAGGAGTGCGCCCCCCCTGCCTGCTCTGCTCCCCCCTCCTCAGCAGGCTGAGGCCCGGGTGTGCCAACCAAGGGGGCGCGAGGCCAGCACGGGCACCCGCAGAGCAGCGGGCAGTGAGGGCAAGCGTGTGGGTGCTTGTGTGAAGGTATGTCAAGGGCACACGCGTTTGCCTGGGGGCGGGTGCTCCAGGGCTGGTCGGTCTCTAGGAGCTGGGAGGAGAGGCCTGTTGGCGCCTTCCCATGCTGGCCGCGTCCCCTGTCCAGTGCCAGCCGCCAGCTTCTGTGTGCTTTGGCAGGCATGCCCGGGCCCAGGGGCCTCCGCGTCAGGTCAGGGCCGCTCTGTCCGGGCCTCTCCCCGCTCCCCTCCTGCCGCTCCCCGTCACATTCCAGCTGACCAGGCCTGCCCCCCGCCCCCCCGCCCCCCCCCCGCCCCCCGCCCGTGGAGTCTGGCCCTCGCGGTCCTCGTCTCCAACTTGGCTCACCTCAGTCACCCTGTTTTCTGGGGCCTCGGGTCTGCGGTCAAGCCCATGCGGCTGGGCTGGGGTGGGGACAGACGTGATAATTAAAGAGGGTGCCAGTAGCCAGCACGACTGGCCCCAGAGTGCCTGGGAGCATGAATGACAAGACAACGGCCTGCTTGGTCCCTGTGGAGCCCCTGGAGAGCCTCTGCGCAGCCCGGAAGCCAGGACCAGCCGCGCTGCAGGTGCCCCGCCCTGCCCCAAACAGCCCCGGGAGCCCCCCGTCGCCGGTGGGGAGACTGAGCCCAGGGAAGGCCAGTGGCACAGCCAGGGCCCCAG